AGTGATTGTGCAGCTGGTACAGCTGATGGTGGATATCTCATTCACAACACACTGGGAAGAACCCTTGGCGGGTAAGCAAATTTACGTATAAGAAGTTTTCTTATTCCGATGATTATAACCACCTGTCTGAGACCTCCAGTGTGCTGGTTTAAAGTTCTGGTATGAAATAAACTTATGGTATCTTTATTTCCGTGGTTGATCAATTAGGTACCACGAATGCCAACACTGCTCTAGAGATAGTAGCTCTTGCCCTAGACAGAGAATTTCTGCCACTGAATCGTTATTTTCTATTGATGCCCATTTTCCCGCACATGCCAACACACATTCATGATATTGGCCAAACATCCCAATGCAGGACTCCCCTAGCAATAGTCTTGGGGCACTCTTTGGTCCATCATCATTAGCAGCAATGATGTTCGAGTAAGGCTTTTTAACATTCTGTTCGTACGTCTTGTACGTTGAACTTCTTTTGCACCGTACTTACTTAACCAACCGTGCTAATGGGAGGGTGTGGGGGAAGGACAAGAAACGTGCGCTGCCTTCGTCTGATAGCATCGCCTGGTTGTTCTCAATAAAAGATGTAACGAACCTGCTTCTTGACAATGCAGACGGAAAGACACAACCGTGCACAACACCCCAGGTGCTTAATTCGCTTCCCTGATTCCCGTCAGCCTCTTGTCTTCCTCCAGAGCTCTGGTGCCCTCCCTCCCCTCCCTCCCTCCCTGTTGCTTGAGCGCTGCTGCGTGATCGAGTGTGGAGCCCGCACGGTGGCGTACACGCTTAGAATTCAAGCCAAGTCACGCAGGCAGGTGATAAATCAGGCGTGATTTAGCATTTCTCATATTGGCTGTGCATTCAGCATCTGTCTGATTTTTTTTATCAACCACGTAACTGCGAAGGTTAGACTTTCCCGTATAGATGCATTGGTGCCTGTTTTTTTTTTACTTATTAATTGGCACGTTGAACTTCTTTCGTGCCCGACGTAGCCAACCCTGCTCATTGGAGGTGCGGGGGAAGGACAAAATTCGAGATGGGGGGGGGGACATTTTGTGATACTTCGTTGTGCAGTGGTGCACTCTCACAAATAATAGAAAACATCTCAACAAATTCATCAGGAACGCTCCTTTAAAAAGAAAACGCGTTGATTGGGCAACGTTTTGACCTATTGTCCTCCTTCAACAACGCACGGAGGTAGAGTGGAGAAGGTTCTGTGGTTGGTGATTATATTGGTGGCTTTGATGTGGGTGCCACGTGTGAATGGTAGTCGAGGTGCCGCTGTTAATGATGAGGATTAATTGATGACAGTGGAATTATCAGCCATCTCGGCTTGCGTGAGTACACTTCCTTGAACGTATGCAATAACCGGGGAGCGTGCCGACTACTTGGATAACCCGGTCCTCCGCCGTGCGTGCGCACGAGCGAGTCACGCTAGAGATCACGTGCGGTGACGGATTTAGGTGGAAATGTCAACCCTTGTGCGTGCAGCCGGTGAGACTGAGCCAGTCGCCACCACGATCCCCCTGCACGTGCCGTTGTCGTGACGTCTAGGCGACGGTGACGCGTGTGCAAGGCATGTCTTCACCTGCCTTTTGCGTTACGGGCAGGTATTGTTTGGTGTGCGCGGGAGGAATGTCCGCGCCGCAATATTTAGAATGCCATCGTGGAGGGGAACTAAAAATACTCCGGAAGAAGAAGAAGGCGGAAACGTGCGTCTGAACGCGAAGCCTCGAAAAGGTCGTGTGTGTAAACGTGCGCGCTCCCTTTGCTTTAGATTTTTTTTGGTTCGGGTAACTTCACCGAAAATACCGTGACGTGCGGCGGCGGTGGCGGTGGCGGCGGCGGGTAGGATCGGAATTTCTACAAGTGCCGGCTTGTCGCCGACGCGTTTGGGTGCACGGCAATGAGGCCACGGTTAAACCTGCCGAGCGCGCACGCGCAAGGACAGACGGACGGGCAGACGGCAACAGCTGACGATTTTCCGCTGATTGTACGTACGTTGAACTTCTTTGGCACCGTACGTAGCCGGCCGTGATCATCGGAGGTGGCAGTGATGTCTTCTTCTTGGTGCTTGTACCAGGCTGGGTGTACCAATCTTGTCAGTTCGGCTTGGTGACGGCGGGGCAACACAGGTGTGTGAGCATGGTGCAGTTAGACGATGGAGTTTGCTGCGATGCCCCTTTGCTGCCCACCGTGTATCGCCGTGTTTATATGACATTTAATTAATGTTCCACCTTGTCATCATTTTTACGCGTGAACTCCGCTTCATAGGCAATATTCACAGCCACCGTGTCGTCTCTGCATCTTGATGGGACCTGCGTGTCTCATTATTGTTTGTCAGTAAATGCTCACTGGGAGGCAAATAACAATACATGTACGTGTCAAAACAATGGCATCAGCAGTGCCTATGAACACGTGTTTCGGAGCAATTCAGCATTGGGTGGCTGTCATCACTGCAACACGATGACAAAGGGAATTAAAGGGCATTAAACCTCTTTAAAGAAGAGACAATGAAAACATACAAGGGTCTCATTGTTTTGTGGACACAACTGGGCTTTGTGGAACATGTAATATGAAATAAAATATTTTTGCCGGTGACATGTTTCTATGGCACCGTCACGCTGAAATACTGACGTGAGGAGATATCCGACAGTGGCTTGGTTCAATGGCGGAGCCAGGATTATCAGGTAGGGGGGGCAACCCCTCCAGCAATGAAAAATGATGGGAGTTGTTAGTAAGTAAGGACTTGTCCCTTGCTTTTTATTCGACGCGTGTGCGGCGATGACGCAGCCATCGATCGAGGGTCGAATTCGAACCGCGTTGTGTGATCGGCATCGCGCTCGCTGAAGGTGTTTGCCTTCAGGGAAGTCGTGTCCTGTATACGCAACTGCGCACAATTCTGTGAGTCACTTATAACTGCTCTGCCATTACTTATTGCCAATTATGGACTATCATCTCATAGAGTCCCTGGTACATAATAATATGCTACACAGTGGCAGTGGGGGTCTCAAAATGCCGATTTATTACTAATAAGCCCCAATGATCCGATCGAAATTAGGGATTTCGATCGGATCATTGGGGGGGGGGCACGTGCCACCCCACCCCCACTGGCTCCGCCAATGGCTTGGTTAGAGAGCTTGACTCAACAGTTGGAAGGTTGTTAAAATCCCAATAGTTTTATCTGGGTTGGATAACATCCGTACCGTTTTGTGATTAGATACAGTTATGCTTGTACGGAGAGACCTGCACCTGGCCATAGCAATGTCTAATTTCCATCGCCATCGCTACCACCGGCCGTGGCAGCGTTCCTCTCCAACGTTGTCCCGGTTTACGTTCACAGGATGAAGAATTCATTCACAACCCCCTTCAAGAGCAGTGCAACCCCCTCCATGCGAGAGAGCGAGAGAGAGTGCGTGTGTTGGACACTGTACCAAAGGGGGGGGGGGGGTAGCATTACCGTCCAGACAACGTGGTGGCTTCTACTCCCCGGATAAAAACTTTTTATTTATTTAAAGCGATGAACAAAAAATTAAGTTGGCTTTGCGCTATAACTGCACCTGGAATTGTTACTCACCTGTGCACGCATCTTGTCCACTAGTCGGCGCATGCGTTTGCGTCGGTGATGGACCGCGAAGTTTTATCCGAGTCGTTGCACCTGAAATCTACCGTTTGTTCCCCCCTCAAGCCCGCCCTGTGGCACTGCCCCCAAGCTGTTGTTTATTCGCCATTCTGGGAGTATCGGCCACGTCGGGTTTCACCGGTTGCAATTATAGGGGTTAGACTGCGGCGTTTGAACCATGGGATTCAACCCCGGGGATTAAAACCGTGGGGTCCAATCATGCGGTTCAGTTGTAGAGGATGATACGTTTACTCTGGGGTTCAATTATGAGGGTGGGGGGGGGGGGTGGAGCGGGTTGAACCCCGCAGGGAGATTGTGTCGTTAAGATTCAGTAATGAGGGTTCAACCATCGGGTTCTCTTGTGGGGGTTCGGTGATTGGATTCGACCGCGGGAGTTCACTTCTGCGAATTCAACCGTGGAGGGCTCAACCATTTGGGTCCGGTTTTGGGGAGGGAGAGGAGGGGGGGGTTCAACGATCGGATTCAACCATTTGAGGTTTTAGTTGACGCAGTTAAACCGTGGGGCTCTCCCACCCCGGGGGATTAATTGATGACCGGGCAGAGGAACCGGGCTGGCAGCCTCCTGGGGAAGCCGGCAGCCAGCCCGGCGAGCAAGGGCAAACCGGCTCACCGCCAAGCCGCGGGGGGGGGGGGGGGGGGTTCTGTGTCGTGCGAGGCAGCCGGGTCGGCTCCGTCTCACAATGCGCCGCCAGCTCATGCATAACCCATGGGCATCGCGGCCGTGGAGCCGGTTCCCACCGTCTGTGTACAGCCGCGTGCGTGCGAGCGCGTGCGTCTCTGCCGCGTGCGGTGTGGCGGCGAGCTCGCCGGCGCTCCGTAGCCGGCGAGCCGAGTTCGATTCTCGCCCGTAGCCAAGGCCGGTGAGGAATATCCAAGCCACCGCCTCGTGCTCGTCGACTTGGCCCTGAAGGAGTATTCGGTGCGGGGCGCAGACATCGGCGTTAGGGAGAGAGAGGCGGCCGAGCGTGGTGCTGGCCACACCACCCCCTTCGTGAGCCGTTCCGCCCTTCGTCGATGCTTTCTGGCAGAACATGCCCGAACAGTTTGTTAAAAGCTACACGGAGGATCTTGGTTTTGTTGTTTTCTATCTACACACATGTGTGTGTGCCGGCAAAGGGCACGTATACGTAGAGCGTGTCTACTCGTGCGTAACGTACCAGTGCCACGTTCGCACGCAACTACGTGCGTGCTTATCCGCGTTTGCGGTGAGCGCACTGCGCTATGAGCTCGGCGATCCGAGTTTGATTCCCACGCGTGTGAACGTCGCCCGCTGCGCCTTGGCGGAGATTGCCGTGGGTCTGCCGAGCGAGTGCGCCGGCGCGCGTGCCACGCTGACAGTTTGGTGCCGCTCCGTGCCGTGCAGACGCCCCGCCGGAGGGCGGCGAGTGGGAGCCCGAGGAGCTGCTGGTGGCGCTGACGCAGCTCGTCACAGAGGGCCGCACTCCCGAGGCCTCCGTGAAGGGCCGCGCGGAGGGCCCGCACTGCCCCCAGCGCGCGGCCAGCCGCCACGGCACGCACTGTGTGCAGCCTCGGCAGCGAACAGGTGAGCGTGGGGTGCGTGTGGGCGAGTAGAGGATTGAAACTTAAAAATAACTCATTTGCAGTCTCGTGTAAATAGGTTGGCGCGCCGAGAGCCCAGTTATTTATTCCTCCCTCCGCCCTCTACCCACACCACGCTTTACCTTCCTCGGTGCTCAGAAAGATGCCGTGATCCCGCCCAAGTTCTCTAACTCACGTGCTCCCCTCTTCCGTCCCTTTGGCGCAATTCCAAACGTGAATGTTATCCGCGCCGCATCTTTACGCGCTCCTCCTCCGTCGCTGAGACACCTCCGCGCCCCCGCGCCCCTTCCGTGCCCGCGCGCAGTGCCGGCTGTACCAGCTGACCCGCGCGCGGGTGCTGCTGCTGTGGAGGAACGCCGTTCCCGTCATGGTGGAGGTGGGTCTGCGCGCCGGCTGCTGCGCGGGCGGCGAGCGGCACGGCGGGACCTGCGGCTCCGAGGCCGGCGACGCCGAGGGGGGCCCCTGCGGTCGCGGGTCGCTGCTGCTCGAGCGCTGGGCCCTGCACCTGGCGCCACGCAGGTGAGTGAGCCCCTCCACTCGCCATCCCCCCCCCCCCACCTCGTTCCGTCGCTCCGGCAAGCAAGTCCCCAGCTAACACCAGCAGCAGTCACCGGGCATTTGCCAACCAATACCAAATGCCGCCATTCGCCACTAAGTGACGGTGACGTCACCACGGCGCCTGCGCCAGGCCAGGTGCATTTTGAGGCCACTTGAAGTGTCGAATGCTCGCAGACAGGAGGTCGTGCGACAGATCCAGGTGCCATGGCTTGACCGACTGAGATGACAGGCAAATGCACCAGCTGGTGCCCCTTGCTGTTGTTACGCCATTAGCCAACAGCACCACCTCCACCACGAGTAACCAGACTCCAGCAACCAGACACCACCACCAGCAGTTATCAAACACCAACTCTTGCCAATCAGACACCAGCTGCCACCACCAGCAGTTACCATGCACCAGCTGTCACCAACCAGTTACTAGCTACTACCGGCAGCAACCAGACACCGCCACCAGCAGTTGGCAGGCGATCCAGACACAGGCTGCCACCGCTAGCAGCGACAACCAAAGCAGGCGCCGACTGCCGCCACCTCCTGCAAGCAAGGTCCGCGACCAGACAGCGGCGTACGAGTGGGGCTCTGCGTGCGTGCGCGTTGTGTGCAGGCCGGGCGAAGGAGCCGTGTCGGAGGGGACTCTGCTGCAGGCGGTGCGCTCCTACATCCACTTCTCCCAGCTGAGCGCTTGGCTCAGTGCCGCGCACGGGAAGCTCAACCACTCCATCTTCTATCGGTGAGGACCTGGCGGCAGCTCGCTCGCTCACTCGCTAGATTTTTCAACTCGGTTCCTCACCAAAGCACTCGCTTAGCAGTCCGCTCAATCATTATATAACCCCCTTATTGAGCAGCCCGTTCACCCGCCAACACGCTCGCTTACTGACTCGCCAGTCTGGCTCATTCCCCAGTCTACTTGCCCAACAACCCATTTGGCATGCCAACCCAGTCACCAGCTGCTAATCTGCGCAATAACCCATTCAGTTTAACACGTAGTAGGCTTTTGCGACCAATATCATCCATAATACAGGTTTTTTTGGGTTAGATTGCATAAGTTTTAATGTGTCGTTAAACCCGCCACCACCCGACACAGCCAATTAGTAAGGTTTGTCACGTAAACAGAACGTGCCAATTTGTTACTAGTACAGCACCCCGGTGTGTTGGAGAGCAAAGCCACAACATTGATAATCTGAGTACGACGTTTCGCCAGATGAAGCTAGTTGTAATTACGAAACATCGTACTCAGATTGTAAATGTTGTGGCTTGACTCTCCAACACACCGGTGTGGTGTACTAGTGACGAATTGGCGCATTCTGTTTACGTGACAAACCTTACTAATTGGTTGTGTCGGGTGGTGGCGGGTTTAACGACACATTTATATATCTCTGCAATCTAACTCAAAAACCCGTATTATGAGTAACCCATTCGTACGCCTACCTAAGCACCCACTCACCCATAATCCCACCCAGCACACCCACACACCCGCTCACCCCTAACCCACCCTCTGTCTACGAAAGACAAATCTGTACGTTTAAACAGCCCCATACTGTGAGTTGTAGCCCTTGTCCTAGCAGCGGCAGAAGCGGCGTCGCGGTCGTCGTCGCCGCCCTGCTGCGCCGAGGCTGAACCCTGCCCACGTGCCCGTCGTGTTGCCAGGGTGTGCGCGCCGGGCGAGGCCACGCAGCAGGACTTTGCCGAGTCCCCGGAGGAGCACGTGTTCCCCGTGCCGGCGCTGGCCTGCACGCGCACGCTGCGCGTCTCCGTGTCGGCCCTGCCGCGCCTGCCCGCCCCGCCGGCCGTCCAGTGCCGCGTGCACGCTCCCCTCCGCCCCGCCGCCGCCGCCGCCTCCTCCTCCGCCGTCTTCTCCGCCGGCGCGGCGGAGCCCGGCGCGGCGGAGCCCGGGGGCGGCGCCGCGGCTCCGCCTCGACGGCGCGGAGGAGGGCGACGCGGAGTCGGAGCTCGCGTGCCGCGCCGAATACGACCGGTTCGTTCCCGAGGCCGAGCGGCGGCAGCAGAAGGCGGTGGGCAAGATGGTGCTGACGTACATACGCTCCAACGGCGCGGCGTGCGAGCGGTGCGACTGCTCCAGGACTGCCGGCTGCCGGCGGCGAGAGTGCCCGGAAGACGCCGCGCCTCACCACACGTGCTGGCCCAGGCCCGCCGGGCAGCCCTACAGGTGCCCGCCGGAAGCGTCCGCGGAGAGGAGGACTACGGGCGGCCTGCGCGGCGCGCTGTCCAAGAACTACTCTGTGATCGCCACGACCTGCTGCCGCGTCGGCCGCCACCGCCGCCGAACCAACGTCGGAGTTGGCGCGGGAGGCGAAGGAGAGCTCGCCGCTCGGCTCCATCTACCAGAGCCGCGAGATCATCTCGAGCATCGCGCAGCAGATCGACCTGTGCGAGCTGGAGACGTCGCTGCGCGCCGTGCGCCTGGGCGCCGCCCGCGACCTCCGCCGCAAGGCCGAGTCCCCGCCGGCGCCCGAGCGGTGCCGGCCCGGCGCGGCCCCCGATGGCACCGCCGCCCCCCCGTCGTCCTCCTGGAGGAACCTGAAGAACGCGGGCGACGCTCGCGCCGGCACGCCGCCGCTCACGCCGCCGCTCACGCCCGTCGAGGCGGCGCTCGCGGGCGACGAGCCGGAGCGGTGGACGCCGCACGGCGAGGAGCCGGCGCCGGACGGCGCTGCGGGGGGCCGAGGGGGGAGCGAAACCCCTGTGTCGTCGCGCGGAGCCGCCCTGCCGCTCAAATCGCGCGTAAAGCGCAAGCTGCTGCCGTCGCCATCGCCGCACAGACCTAAGGCCGCGGCGGCCGTGGAGGCGGCGAGGGCCGCGGACCCCTGCCAGTCCCCGCCGGCCAAGTGCGGCGTGGCCCGCCCGGGCACCTTGCCGCTCGACGGCGTCAGGACTTCCCCCCGGCCGCCCGGCGGCCCCCTTACCCCTGCGGCGCCGACGACGATTCCCGCGCTGGTGCCGGCCGCGTCCACGTGCTACTTGGCCTCGTCGCCGGGCATCCCCGCCGGGCAGAGCGCGTCTTGCCAGGTGAGGGGGGGCAGGAAGGGCGTGCGAGCGAGGGGAGGCCACCTCAAGGGGCCGTGCCCGCAACCGTGAGCGCACGCGGCGAATGTTTAGTTTAGTTCAGTGCTCGACCCCGTGTCAGTCCGTTGCTGGGTGCCACGTTTGCGTTCTTTACATCCAAGGCAGCTTTGTCGACTGAACGTAATCGAGTTCAGTTCGGCAGGAAACTCTCCCGACTCGCTCTCGCTCACCGCTTCAGGATGTTTCACCCAAGTGCCCGCGGGCATACGTCCTCGTTCGTTAAGCGGACTTGCTGTGCGCTCGTGTTGCATCTTGAGTCCGACGATTAATCACGCCAAATCGTTGCATCGCGCCAAATTGCGACGCTCGCTCTTCCAGCTCGTCTACGTTGTGCACTCGTTCCGGGGCATCGCTCACGGTGATGGAGGGTAACTTGTGTTTGCTGTTTGATTGAAAATGATGAGTCTGCGGCTTGGGTTCAGTCGGCTGTCTGCATAAGGACCGTCGTTTAATCATAACACCAGCAATCGCGGGTGTCATTGTGGAGATTATAAATAGCGAAGTATATACACGCAGACAATGCGCCTCCTTCATACATCTGTCTCTCCGCGTAAATATTGATTATCATTGTGGCGAGACAGATAAATGAAGGAGAGACTTATTATCTGCTTATAGCGTTTGTGATTTAATCAGGCAAGTGTTCAATGGCAACATATCCGTCTTGCAGTGAAGAAGTGATGGGTCGCATCTTTGTGACGCACAGTGGCCGGCACACAACGGCACAAACATCTCCGTGATGCCAAGCGACCCGCATTACTCGCGTCCGCTTCACAAACTAAACTATCATTTAAAAACTAAACTATTTTTATTTCACCAGGTAAGGCCCACTGAGCTATATAGTTCTTTTTCAGAAGCGCCCTGGCCACAAATGATAGCTCAACGAAGTGGCTTATCATCGTGTGGAAATTTATAGCAGCCAAATACTCTAAACGCACCTCGTTTATAAACGTGGAGGGAAAAACCGGTGGACCATGGGGAGAGCACGCAAACTCCAAATATACAACAGGCGTCGGGGTCGGGATCGAACCCACGACCTCCTGTGTCCCAAGCGAGGTAGTTAACATCTCCTAGCCACCGTGATGATGATGAGAGAGAGAGAGACACGCAAACTCCAAATATACAGCAGGCGTCTGGGTCGGGATCGAACCCACGGCCTCCTGTATACCAAGCGAGGTAGTTAACATCTCCTAGCCACCGTGATGATGATGAGAGAGAGAGACACGCAAATTCCAAATATACAGTAGGCGTCTGGGTCGGGATCGAACCCACGACCTCCTGTGTCCCAAGCGAGGTAGTGAACATCTCGCCGCCAGGAACATCACAGCCAGGCCTTGGCGGGGGCACGCGTTGCCGACTCGGCGTGACGGCGAGCGCGTGCCACCCGGTCACCCTGCCTCAGCTGTGCCCATCCTCGTGGTCAACTCGAGCCCTGCCCTGGCACCGAGGCTGCACTCAACATGAACACGACAGTTGACAACGGCTGGGTACAGTGGTGATAGATATTGACTGGTCCGGGGGTTGATGACCAAAATAACAAGAAGATACATTTTTTTTTAATTCGGTAAAAAAAGATACTCGACGTATCAAGAGCCGCAGTGCACGTGAATACGATACGGCAGCCCTCCTTGATAAATGACCTCGCGAAACAGTCCTTTAAGAAGCCGCACGCGGCTCCGGAGCCATAGCCGTTCGTGCTTTGCTGTCAATCTCATCGACAACGGCGGAGAGAAGAAACCCTCTTGCTATAGACCGTACATTTTCTCACGTGGTCGGTCGGCGATCCTCCGACGGTGCAGGCGCAGCCCTGCCGGACGGCGGCCGTAGTGCCCTCCCCGCCCCAGCGGCCCCGTGAGCCGCCGGCTGCTGGATAACGGTGCCCAGCCGCCGCTGCTGCTGCTGCCCGCCGCCGCCATCGCCTTCCACCCACGCACCGGCCTGCCAGGCCGCCTCCAGCCCAGTAAGGCCGCGCACACACAAACTCGTCTGCCGTGCGCTGTGATTACACGCTCGTGCCGCTCCTCAGCCGGACTCGTATAAATAATTTATTGAATCGATTACTTAATGTTTTGGTTATTTATATTTTCTATTTATATTTCGTGACTTGCTTGCCTCTTTCTCTATTTTGCACTCCTATCGTTTTTTCTTCGTGCGTGCGTGTCGCTCACTGTCGTAACTCGCTGACCGCCCGCCCGCCCCTGCTAGACATCGGTGAGAAAAAAGCTTCATAGCTCATCGGTCTAAACAAAGATTCTGATCATCGGCATCCCCGTGAACTTGAGAGGCTTCGCTCCTTGGCTCTCCCCCTCAATGCTACGAGCGTTCCTCCCTCCCCTACAGCACGCTCGGGGAAGCCTTTCCTTACCGTAGGGCCCAACAGGAACTTAAAACACCGTCAGCGGGTTACCAATCGAGTCAGCGTCGGCCATCACGAAACCTTGATCACGCTGGGACTGCTCTGAGCTACTTGAAAGACCACCGAACTCCTCCCGTAGGGAAGGTCGTGGGATGGAGCCGCACAAAAGCCTTCCTTTGCGTTGGTTCACACCACGTCCCCAATTTTAGCCGAGTGATCATAACGGCCGGTTAACTTTAAACCCCCTCGGCGACGTCTCTCCTGCGTTCGCTTTGGTGCCCACGCCCAGTCTTCTCCTTTCCTGTGGCTGACGTGGACACTCAGGTGGCCAAGCCAGGTAACCGCGTCAGGAGCAGCGGTCACGTTCGATGATCCTGATGCGGAGTCCACCCCTGTGCCGTCGACTATTGTCGACTTAGCCGAGGGGATTCCACGTGGCCCTGCTGGGCCCAGCTGCTTCTAAAGCCTGTGCTCTGTCTGTGCTCGGCAGGTGCCCTTCAGGAAAGGGATCTCCGGGCGTTTCGACCTGGACGCTTCGCTGCTGCACAAGAACGGGCACGTGAAGAGGTGAGTGCCGGAGGTCCGAGCGCCGAGCTGGCGACCCCGGGTTCGAAACCGGGCAGCCACCCGCGGTCGAACCGGGTTCCGAGGTGCAGTGAGTTGATGGCCTCTGCCTGGTCGCCTATGAGCGCACGAGACAAATCGTCACGTTAAATTTGTTTTCGCACTTAATTTGGATCAATTTAAGCTCTGACATTGAAACATCAGTTTGGCTGATGCGACAGACACTACTCTCAGGTGGCAGAGCAGTTGTGCCCTCTACTGCGTGGACCCAGGTGACTTGAAAGGATCTCGGGGGGTAGCTCTGTAGTGTCCGCTTGAGTGGGCCGTTCTCCGTCTTGTGAGAGCGCCGTCGGGACAGACCTGGCCGTGCGATCGCGCTGGCCCGTCCCTCCTTTGACATCTCTCACGGCGGGGGAGAAGAGCACTCCCTCGGGCGTTGCAGCACCCCCACGCGGGCGCGGCGGTAGCCGCGATAGACTACCAGGCCCGTCGGCTCCCCTGTGGCGAGCGCCGCTTAAGACTCTCGGCTTGCAGAGAGAATCGCGGAACGTGAGGGAGCTCGCTCGATACGGCGCATCGTGGCGAACCGAAGGTGATGACGTGGGTCGTGCGTTGGGGCCCCTCTGCCTGTCGCGCAGCCCCAAGGTGGTGGCGCCCGCGGACGAGCAGAGCGGCCGGCAGCCCCCCGCGCCGCACGGCCCCGGCAGCAGCCCACGCTGCCTCCTCGGCAACTTCGAGGTGAGTGAGATTCGACAAGCGACGCCGGCGCGCGAGACTCAGAGTGTCAGTGAGGATCGATGTATCTTCTCGTGCGAGGTTCGGCGAGGTTCGGTGAGAATCGGCATGACTTGCTGTGAGACTCGTGTGATGTTCCTTGACCCCCAAATGAGTACCCTCGTGCGACGTGTTAACATCGCCACCGGGGAGACAAAGGCGACCGGGTGTGGTGCTGGCGACCCACCCACCCACCCCCTCGTGCGCCACGGTAGCGGCCTTCGTAGGCGCTGCGACCCGTGGATCTTTGCCCGAGCCTCACGCTGGCCGTGTCCGCCGCAGGAGTGCGTGCTGAACGCGCGGCTGCCCGCGCTGGGCTCGGTGGCGGGCTTCACGGCGGAGCTGGGCGCCAGCGGCTCCTTCTGCCCCCGCCACGCGGTGCTGCCCGTGCACGTCTCCTTCTTCTCGGTGGCCCACGACGGGGCCCCCTCCCCCTACCTGGGCGTCCTCGGCCTGCGCTCCCACGGCTGCCGCGGGTACCACGTTCCGCGAGCCGGCACCATACAAGTGGTACGCGCGCGCACGCACGCACGCGGAACACGCACGCACGGACCACACACGCACACGCGCAGACCACGCACGTGCAGACCACGCACGCGCGGACGGTACGGCGGAGGTGGCGCGAGCGCCGTTAACATGCACCTATTGAGGCCGACATGGCACTCGTGGTGGTGTAGCGGTGAGCACTGCGCTACGAACCCGGCGGCCTGTGTTTGATTCTCGCTCACGGCCAACGCCAGTGACGATTATCTGAACCGTTCCTGGGCCTCCCACTAAGTCGACTCCGCCTCAAATGAGTACCTGGTGCGGTGTGTAAACATCGCCACTAGGGAGACAAAGGCGGCCGGGTGTGGTGTTGGCCACCCACCCCCTCGTGTGCCGTGGCGACCTTCATAGGTGCTCGCTAACAGCACTTGCCCCAACAGTCTGTTAAGGCTATAGGGGGGAACTTTGTCTTTATGGCCCACGCCACACCTGGCTGCTTTTGTCTCCTCAGTGCCGATGATTGTACACCATTTCCAGGTACCCATTTAAGGCTGAGTTGACCTAGGGGATGCCCAAGACCGGTGTTGGCCTGGAACGGATATTACACTCGGGTGGCCAGATTCACACACGCACGCACACATCCACACTCAAAAACGTACACACAGTCGCACATCCACGTGCATCATCCACATGCATAGATACATGGATAATTGTTGCCATTGGTGATACCCATGTTACAACAGCAGAGTCGTATTCCAATGTGGGGTGGGAGTGACGCCCTCGCCGTGCCGGTGCCGCCTTCCCGAGCAGACGCTGTTCAACCCCAACAAGACAGTGGTGAAGATGTTCGTGGTGATCTACGACCTGCGCGACATGCCGGGCGGGCACCACACCTTCCTGCGCCAGAGAACGTTCTCGGTGCCCGCGGCACGAAGGGCGGGGGCGCCCGCCGTGCCCGCCACGCCGGGCCCCGGCCCCCACGCCCGCCACGGGACCAACGGCGCCGTGCCGCCCGCCGCCGCCGTTGGCCGCCTGCGCTCGGCCTCCCCTCCGAAGGCCCCGGCGGCTGGCGGCGGCGGCCCCCGACCGCTTGTCGCCCGCGAGCGCCCCCCCGGCCGACGGGGCCAAGGACAGGGCCCTTCCGATACCTCATCCACCTGCGGTACGCACGCACAAACGCACATTCACATGCACGCACGCCAGATAATTTCCTCCGTGTGTAGCTTACAAGTGCAGTTAGCGAGCACCCGCCTATGAAGGCCGGCACGGCACACGAGGGGAGGGGGTGGGTCGCCAGTACCACGCCCGGCCGTCTTTTATCGCCTAATTTACACACCTGCACCAGGCACTCGTTTTAGCCTGAGTCAACCTCAGAGAGACCTAGGATGGCATTCAGATACACGTCACCGGTGTTGGCCGTGAGCGGGAATCCGACTCGGGTCGCCGGGTTCATAGCGCAGCACGCTAACTGCTACACTCCTGGAACGCACGCACACCGCACGCGTACACAACAACAACAGCAGCAATAACTGCCATTCGCTACCAAGTGGTGGTGACCTCCATGGCGCTAGGGCACTTTGAAGGTTTGTGAAGTGTCGAAGTCTCGCCGAGCCGTCTCGTTATGCCGTTGCCTTCCCCCCCCCCCCCTGCAGGTTCCTGAGCTCCAAGTCGGGCAAGATCTACCTGCACTCGGACATCCGGCTGCTCTTCTCTCGCAAGTCGATGGAGATCGACTCGGGCGCGGCGTACGAGCTCAAGTCATACACGGAGACGCCGCAGAACCCGCGCTACTCCCCACGGCTCTGATGCCCCCCCCCCTCGGCCTTCACGAGCCCCCCCACCTCCCACCCCTCCCCCCTCCCTCCATGACCACGACCCACCTCGCGGCGTGACCCGAGTTGGATTTCCCGCTCACGGCCAACGCCAGCGACGTATGTCCGCACCTCCGATGAGCACGGATGGCTACGTGCGGCGCGAAAGAAGTTCGACGTGCATACACACGGCACCGGTGCGGCTTCACGTCAACCCAAACCACCGGGGGTGTGGCCAGAGGGGGGAGACTGCAGAGATCTCCCGTGTCCCCGAGGTTCGGTGACGCGTAGCTGAGAGTGAAATTATTTAAGTTCAGGACAGGAAGTGAAAGTGTCTAGATTTCTGGGTGGTTAGAGTCGGTGCGATGAGACGTGTGTTTGAGATGCCGGGCGGGCGCGAGAGCGGAGCTGGTGCATGGCGGCTCTGGGTGGTTTTGTGCAACGCCGCGTGGGGCCCCCGGGAGTTCATGTCGCTCACCCACCACTCGCCCGTCGCTCGCCCATCGCTCGCCCGTCGCTCGCCCATGCCGTGTCTCCATCTCGTCACGTCACACATTCCGTCACACGTTTACTTTTTGAAAAATAATTGAGTTGCACTCGCGGAACTACAACTTAGTTTATTTTTCATGCTTCATTTCAATAGCAGATTAATACGTACAAAATTCAGTCGGATAAAGAATCCACATTTTTTATGTGAGATAATACTAATACTTAAATAACAACAAGAAAGGTAGAAAAACATTTTGAGACCTAACTAAGGAAGTCCCACACCCCGCATCGACACGCCATTCCCAGTGCCACGTCAGGGCCCCGCCTCTCAGATGGCCGCAGGCAGAGACACAACTTGGACTTTTTTTTAAATAGCCACGGCATCTTAAAGAGTATGTGTTGTTGCCATTTTTAATCTCATTTGCACGCGAGCCGTCCCGTGGCTTTACCAAGCAACGTAAGCGGTGTCACCCGGTCCGTTAGCTGGTCCATCAACCGGTCCATCAGCCGGTCCGTTACCCGGTCCATCAACCGGTCCATCAACCGGTCCGTTACCCGGTCCGTTACCCAGTCCGTTACCCAGTCCATCAGCCGGTCCGTTACCCGGTCCGCTACCCGGTCCGCGCGTTCTTGCTAACTTCGCTCCAGTGACGTGTACGGTGGCACAGGCGTGGCGGTCTACGTCTGGAATGCCGATTCGTCGTTAAACACTCGACAGGAATTGGTTCACATCCCAAGCTGGTCCCTTCATGAAAAACAGCCTTGGGACTCTGCCGGGTGAACAAAGCCGGTACACGTCCATGCGTTGCAGTGCAATTTGGTTTTATACAACGATCGGAGAGATGAGTGTCCGGACGTTGAGGGCACTGTAATTCCATTTACCAATTGGCGTAGTAGAGAGCAGAATACATACTATTACACTTGTTCAAATAATTACGGTGGGAACCCTTATGAATAGAAGGGAACTCTCTCGTGACTCCCCACTCATCTCCCCACTCACCCACTCATCTGCCCTCTCATCTCCCCACTAATTTCCCCAAGCATCTCCCCTTTCTGTCTCTCCTCGCACCCCCCCCCCCCCCCTCGTGCGTTGCACAAAAGCTCAGCTCCAGCCTTGGCGTTGGAGACAACGCTTTAATACTCACCACCGCTCGCAGCCCGAGACCGCTCCGGCATCTCCGTCTCTTCGCCGGTGGGGGTTTCGGTCAACGTGAGTGACGGCGCGTCCGGGATGACGACACTTGGGGGTGGTTCTCCGCCGCGGTCGTTTCTCTCTCAAGCGGCCGTCCCTTGGGGGCCGGCGCGGCGCGTGGGAGCGTCGACAGAGCCAAGGAGCCGCAGTCGGAGCAGTCAGGCAATGAGGGCTCCAAATGTGGCAACGTCTTGGATTCTTGTACAGAGCCTGGAAGGTCCCGGGCTCTCCACCGAGCCTCCTGACCTTTTTGCCGTAGACATCCGGAATTGCTCACCAAGACCTCCAGGGAGTGTCCTCCAGATCTACCCCCCTCCGATTGCTCCGAGTCCACTCGGAGCAAGGTCACCTGAGTATTTACTGAGCCGATACCTGAAGGTATCATTTCCACCGCCCACGATACCAGGGTTATATACCAGTATGGCAATCTCAGAAGGGCTATTATTGACACTTTTTTTTTTAATCAATCTTGGTGTTGCATCTCCATTTCAGGGCCGCGATGCCTTTTGATTGCTAAGTTGAATAGGTGTTGGTCAATATACGGAGTTACCTTCTTAACATTGGGCAATACCTCGTGTTGAGCAATGCTAATCAATAGTTATTTTTTTAAAGCGATACCCAGTATCAGAGCGAGACTTAAAACCAGTTGAGCCGGGGCCAGATGTTTCACTCGTCACTGCCACCCGAGGTGGGATCATGTTAGAACTTCCACTTCCTTTAAGTGGCCGGCCAACAGTCAATTACGCGACAACCGTTTGAAACGAGCAGGCCATCGCATAATTCACTCTCGGTAGCCAACTAAAAGTTCGTGTTGCCTCGTGCGGTTACCGGTTACTGATCTGGCCCCCCCCCCACCCACCTCGGGGCATCGCGCCGCGGTACTGGGGATGTCGGTGCGGCTCTGCCAAATCGCCCGCCGGAGCCGCTCGCCGCGCCGCGCCGCTCGGGACCAGGGAAACCCTTAGGACGGCCGCCACGCCAATAAGCGTCGACCTCGGAGCGACGGCGCGAGAGACGGAATATGCAGGCGAGGGGGCTCGGTGGGTCAAGCGGGGGAGGCCGTTTTGTTTTTACTATAATGTTTTTTTTGGAGTGGAAAGAGAAGAGTAAATTAGTTTTCAAAAGTGCAATTCTTAAATACTTTACAGTACCCGCAGATTTTGACGCGCGTGTTTTCCCCTCGCGTTAGATTTGTCACTTTAGCGTCGCCACATGACCGCGGGCGCCCGCCTCGCCCAGAGTTTCCGTTTTTCGCGGGACGTTATTCCTGTAGATTGTGTGACCTGAGCCGAGTGCTTTTGTTTTTTCTTTCTAATTTATTTTTTATTATTGACAAGTATAGCCTATAATTTATATGTTAACTTAAGTAAACCGATCGCTAGGTTGATCCGTCGTTTGTTTTTATCGCGAGTCTCGCCGGGGGCTTGAAGCACGGCGAGGAGTCGTCTGCCGTGTGCGCTCGTGGCAGCGCCGCGGCTGCAACGCGGCGCTGCGGGTCGCAGGCGTGGAAGGACAGCTTTGGCTACGAACATCGCTTTTGTGTGTGCACTGGGCAGGCTGCTTGTTACCCGAAGAAAATCCAACAGTTTTAAAACGTTAAAAACTCGAACCTTGCAGTAACACAGAGGGGTCATCATCATTGTCATTTTAACGATTCGAGGGAAGCGGGGCGGCGCATTGCTGAGCGCACCGCACGATGAACGCCGGTGACCCGCGTTACATTCCCTGCCACAGCTAACATCATATCTGAGCCCGGTGCTGGGCCCTCTCTCTCAACTTATAAATCCGTGCTAACCACCGTGGTACCGGTCGCACAACCCCCACGATCGACGCGGCACGGGGGAGGCCTTCATCCGGCAGTCGGCTGACAAAGGGCTGTAAATTATCGTCCACGACGACTCGAGGCTGCCCCCCCCCCCCGTTCCACGCCGCTTGTGCGTTGCGCGCACGGCCGGACGCGAGGAATGTTCTTTGTTGGACCGTACTCGGCTGTGTCCGCAGGCGGGGAAGGACAGTTCCCCTCCGGGTCATTTGCACACACTGGGGGGATCAACTCCCACTCGCGCCGCCCAGTAAGTTCCCGCAGGACGTTGCCGCCAAAGATCATCGTCTGCTGGACGTTGAAGGCCCTGTCAAATCATGACAGTGGGACGTCGCGTGCCAGTGTCGTAGAACTAATCCCGAAATGGCAAAATTGCCCACAGCTACAACGTTATATTTTAGTTTGTTTTAAAGATTAAAAGAAAAATACTTTTAAAAAAATGTTCCGTTTTGATTGGTGGCGGGAGGCGTCTGTCTTGGTGAAGAAGTGATTTTCACCAGGCTCTCGCCTGGCTGAGTGAAACGTGTTAAATTAAAGTTGCCAATGCTGCGTCAACCTCTCGTTCGTTTACTTTGTAATAACGTGAGAGCCCGTTGAGTTGAAATGGCTTTTCAAGGGGCCACCTCAAGACACTGCGTGAATATTGCCTCTTCATCTTAGTATTTAAATCGTAGAAAAAATAAACCCCAAGTTTTGGTTTTCGGCTATAAAAATGTGGTCATGATGGCCGCTATGGTGCTCCCACGCTTCCCAATGCGGACAACCCAAGTTGACGAGCCACTGGCCCTCTCCCCAGGGTCTCCCCATTGCCGTGAAACTTTGTGGATGTCTCGGCGTTACTTCTCCTTGAGAGTGGACGCGAGCATCTCCCAGCCGAAGATGCTCGCTGCACCACGCTGCTGTGAGCCACGTGGCCACGGCTGTGGTCCAATCTCTTCCTCCACCGTGGCTCTTTGTGCCCAGGTATAGCGAACCTCCTCTGTCGGAGGGAGCCCAATGGGAACATCCGCGTGTGAAGAACGTTTGGGAAGTGTGACGCTGGTTGAGGGCCCCCAATTGCCACGTGGCCACTGCTGGGAGTCTTGATTTTGGTGGGGCTCTGCGTTTAGGTCTGCTTAACAAGATCACGTTAGCGAGAGTTCGTTTGTGATGGAAACCAATAGGCTTATTGGAAACAGATATGACGAATTGTCACCTACGTCACTGAATCCCAAATGGACCACTTCCAAGTTGATACAATTTTTTTTTATCTCATCTTGATTCGGAGCTGCTAGAGTTTTAAGCAATTTTTAATTTGTGATTTATTTTATTTAGCAATCCGGCTTCAACAGAGTGAATTTTTTTCGTGGTATTAAATCGTTATTTGTTCATACAAGAGCAATTTCTCTTTCGACCAAAGATTTTATTCCTCCCATATTCAGCTCTGTCACTCTCATTAGAACTTTAGCAATTGTTCAGTTTACAGTGGTCGTCTCTTTCTCCCAGTGTCAGCTCTCACACCCCTCGTAATCCGTTTAAGAAAGTGGTTCGCAATGCCTGTTCACGAAACCTTGACGTCCGTCAATATATATACTACCAGGGTCACCCCGAGCGCAACGCAATCTCTGTGCCAAACTCACCATATTGCTGAACGCGCGCGTGGGGGCGAACGAACGATTTCTTTTGCAGCGTTGACGAGAGGGCCGCATGGCTCAACCCGACATCCGTTGTGCTCGTGATCTCAAGACCATTCCAAGTCCCATGACCTGGTCGCAGTCCATTTGGGGTCGGCAGATTGAGTGCCACCCGGTGAGGCTGCCCCACTTGGCAAGAAGTCAACACACAGAGGTCGTTGTTTGAGCATTGGCCCCAGCATATGAATGTGGAACTTCCACTGCTAGCTCAGGACTAACAGAGGTGAGCACCACCCAGGGCTCGCTGGATCCTGGGGACTTTAATTTGTAATAATACCGCGTGTTTGAAAATCAAGCAAATGTTATAATTTTGATGATTAAACATTGTATGTCGTTCGTTGCAACACGACTCCTGCTATGCACAGAAGACTTAAGAGGGTGTGGTTTAAGAAAATAAAAAAGCGCGTTGGAGAATATTAACGAAAATGTCGCGCTGACTTCGCGTGACCCTTCGACCTCTTGTGACGAAACACCACTACGGACGCGTTTGTGTTATGGGTGATTTGACAAGTACGGTAGTTGCAGTTAGCGTTTGCGCAATTATAACGGCCCATTCTCAAAACTCCTTGTACGGCGGTCAGCAATGCCACGGTACGGCACGGCGCAATCGTACGTTGTGCCCATCCAGAGGTCGGCTGAATGTTTCGCGTTAAACGCTTTGTGGAGGTTAGAGGTTGACTCGAGACGATGATCGTTCACGTGGTTGCAACGTTAATGTTCGTAAGTAAATAAATAAACTGCAACAAAACGAGTGCAAGGCTGTGAACGGAGTGGACTTTATTTTGGGGGGTTGTCGCGATGACAGCACCGCAAGTTTACTCACGGAAATCGTGCAACAAACACTTTTCGTGCGGAGTTGGGTGTGCTTTTTGAATACAGTACATCAATTAGGCTGGTTATGTCATGTACGTGTTGTCCGCTCATTTGTATGGATTATCTGGATTTCTCCCACGTAAAAAAAACACGCACCTCGATAGACTTCGTCCACACGAATGCCTCAAGAGGTAGGAGCGGGGCCTCGAGATGAAAGGGCGGGCACAAGCAGGAAGGGGCGGGAGCTGAAACAAAGCTCAAATTCACCTCCAATTAACCCTTTCTGAGACGTCTGCAAGTTGCAGCGTGGGGTCCCGTTCACCGCTGGATCTCCTAAACTCGCAAGCGGTTAAGTTAATTTTATTTCGAGATGCGCAGTGCCATTGTTTAAGATATGTTACTCACCGCAGACAACTGTAGTGACAGCACCGCACTATGATAGCTGCCACCAAACCGTGCCACACGTCCTCCCGCTTGGCCTTGTGGGAGCCTCTGTACTGATAGTTATTTTAAAAATTCTTACGGTTCCATTCCAACGACGTATATGTATCGAAAGAAAACCTGACGTACACGAAATAAAACGTGAATGCGAATTTCAGAAAATGACATGCAAAAAAACGATTCTGCATACAGAGGGAGGACTTCAACCATGTACCAGGGAATTTATCTTTTTATTGAAATGTAATCACTGAACATACAGATGGGTTGTTTTAGTTTTTACACCATCAATGTTGATATATTAAATTCAAGTATAAACGTACAACGCGTACAAGTCTTGTGCAGTGTAGCGACAATCTTAAAGGCAAATCCTCAATTTAAAAAAACCCAGACCGAGCTGCATTTCAAGTTGAAAAATTTCAAATAAATATTTGCTTACAAAAAAAACACCGGAACGAACCTTTAAAAAAAAATCGATGGCACATACATGCAAAAGGTGTGTGTCCTTCACAGGTCAGAGACCAACACAATCCATCTTCCCAATGCATAACACTCAGAGAGCCAGGGGTGGACAACAGCTTCCTTACAGAGGGCCAAACATTCAAATCTCTTTGGCGGGCCACACACACCTGTCACTGCAAGAGGACACTCGCAGTGACAGTAGTGACTGAGCACACAAAAACGATAGACACGGGTCGAACATATCCTCAACTCTCGCAACCAATTGGTGCGGCCAAGACGCTTGCAATGACGGATACGTGCGACGTTGCGACCACTGGTCACGTGAAACAAAGTCGCAGGGCGTATGTTTCCCCACGCCAGGCGTAAACTGTACAGAGCGATCACTGGACCCTGTCGAGATCTTCCACCCAAGAACACGGTGGGACGGCTGCAAGGCTGCCAATCCATTCGGGTGTTCGGTACCGTCGCCATGCAATGCGAGATTGGATTCGCGCAACGGCATCTCTCAAAGGAGCGGCGTGCGGCAGGCGTCGTTGTTTGGGGAGGGGATTCCAGCCAGAAGTTGACCAGGTCAAATCTGCGTTAAAGGGTTAAGACTTATTTATTCGTCGGCTGCCCGTGGTCTCGTGTGTCACTGTTCTAAGCAGACCGTCCAGTTCGTTGGATTTGCATAGGAACATCTCCAGCGTGGGCTGTGTGTGTGCACTCTCCACTGGTCGGTCTCTACAAGCCCATGGAGCCAATTCTTCTCTCCCTTAATCCACTAAGCGGTGCCCTCGTCGTGACAGGAGGAGTCTTTGAAGGAAAATCAATGAAGCTCATGCTGTTTTTTTTTTACTTTCAGTGCAGTTGGCTCCTGAACTACTGAACAGTTGGCTAACTCCTCAATTCGCAACGAGTCTGCCTTAAATGTAAATATTTGATATTTTTTTGCAAATTAGATATTTATGAAAACCTGATTTGTTGTTATATAAATTCATATGCTTATAAAAAAGAAAATAAACGATACTGCATATTCATTGTTCATTAAGTTATGATACGAAGAGTAGCCTCCGGAAACGGTTGTCGGAATGTCTTGTGATATTAGCACGTCGCGCGTTGCCAACGGGAGAAACGGACGGCTGGAGCGCGGCAAACGAACCGCCTGGGAGAGGCGGCAATCGAATGCTGCGATGCCCTCTGCTCCCGCTACCGCTGCTGTCGTGTACACGACCCGTCTTACCACTGTCTGTTCCTTCCCACGCCTGACCAGGCACAAGGGATGAACTGCTCACAATCGGGGGGGGCCTCGGTGCTCCGAGACTTTAAATGCTCGTGCTCGTGAAAACATCGGTGTTTGTGACACATCGCTGTGGGTTGCAGACGAGGTCTGTGGTTGGCACTCGCAGCTGGATGCTCCACTGGCACCTCCCCACATCCGCGGCATCGGCACACGAACTTGTGATGGCCAAGAGAGGCGAAACTTAACCAGCGACGACGCGCGTTCCCTGCTCCGGCGTGTAGACGGGTCGTGTTCCACGGAGTATGGGGTCTCCCCTTCTTACTCTTTCGTATGGCTCGAAGAATCGCAACACTCCAAGTCGAAGCCACGATGAGTTAGCCGGGGGAATGGCTTCGGCTGATGTGCGGTGGATTTGCGTCATTGAATTATTGAGTTCACGGTGGCTCACCGTCAGTGTTTCAGCAATTAGCACGGCGGGCTTCATTGCAGGTAACCGTACACCTATGGACCTACCGAGGTTCTCCATAGATTTGGCATTTGCTCTGCAAAAGCGTGAGGACAATGCTCACTCCCATCACCTCCATGGCCTCCTTCCGCGCATTTTGGGTCCTCCATATAAACCCAAATCGCTCTTCTCCACCCGGTCTCTCTCCCCGCTTTGACAGACTCCACTGCTCACGGTTGTCGTTGTTTCAAGCCTGCCGACCGTCGTCCCACCCCTCCTCCTGCCCCACTAGTACGGCAGCGTCTGGCAGAGCCGGCGGAAGAATGCGGCGACGGCGGCGTCCACGCGAAGCACAAACGCGACGCCGAGCAGCAGACACGCGCCGTTCACTACGAAGCCCACGGCCTCGAACAGGAACCTACAGCCACATGCACACATACACACGTGCACACACACACATGCACACACACACGTACGTGCACACACACACGTGCACACACACGTGCACACACACACGCAGATGCATGTTCGCAGTCACTTTTAGCGAGATGGCCTGATGAGACAGGCAGTCGAGTGTTACTTAGAAGTCAGAAAATGTACATTTTCTGTAAACCCATATGTGCTGCGTATTATGAATGCTGCATGCGAGCAATTACTTGGGAGCGAAGATCCCCCAGACCATGAGGTGGCGGCGAAGCACTGCAGCGGCGCAGACGCTTGCCGTGAGCTGCTCGCAGACCGGACGACACACGGCACGAGGGTCAAGTTAACAACTCGTCAAAGTCACTCTTCCTCGAGATCCACTCGCTTCTACCGGCCGCGGAGCGCCCGTGTATCCCTGCTTCTGCCACGCTCCATCTTCTTTGTTGATAATGTAAATGCAGTTTAAAAAGGGGCTGGAGACCATCGAAGGAAAGGCACGGGGCCTATGGGATGAGCTACGTACAACCCATGGATCCGTCCATGGGTTGGTGCCATGACTCTGATCGTGCGGTCGGTGTGGAGCTCAGGGGATCGGCAACCAAAATAACAACAAGAGCCATATTGTTAAAATTCGGTAAAAAAAAAACTCAATATTTCAAGAGCCGCCAATGCACGTGAATAACGTCACACGAAGCCGTCCTCAAAGAGCCGCAGGTTGCTGACCCCCGGTGCAGCTGGAAGGGGCCCCCACGTGCGTCACCTGCAGCCCGACGAGCAGCAGGTAGGTGGCGCCCAGGCGCAGCAGGGCCCCGTGCAGCAGCGTGGGGTGGCTGTGCAGTCGCATCTCCATCCCCGTGGCGCCCTCGTCCGCCGGGCTTCTCCGCGCCGCGCCGGCCTCGCGCGCAAACGGCCACGTGAGCAGCAGCGGCAGTCCGGCTGGGAGCGGCGACGGCAACCGCGGTTTTTTAAGTCGTATTGTTTCGACGCTTTCAACCAATGTCGGACAGCATTGATCTCTGTAGGCAGCACTGAACCAGTGGTGGAAAAGCCACATACCTATGGCAGTCTCTCCAAAGAACAACCACTTATTATTTCCCACAAAGCGCTGATCATTTTACGACCATGGATTAATAAGTCACTTTAAAGGACGTAACTCGCCGTCACTGCAAATTATTTTTGTCAGTTAAGAGAAGCCCACGGCATATCAGGTTTTCACTCGCGTTCGGTCGCACGACTCCATGCACCCCAGAGCACAAAGCTTCACTTTCTCAATCACCTGCCGTGGTGAAACCTCGCTGCATGTCACCGTTGCGGTGGCGTGGCCTGCCCAGGTGGCACATGGGAGGTTGGGTGAGGGGTGGGGGGGTGGGACGCAGGCGTACCTGCGAAGAGCGCGTGAGAGGCGTAGGTGTTGAGTCCCACGAGGAGGGCGGGCAGCACGTGCCCGCCGTGGCCTCCGTGGAAGCCGACGAAGGCCGCGTTCCACTGCAGCGCGGGGAAGGTGGGCAGGTGGCCCGTGGCGTAGAAGAACTGGCAGGCGGCCAGCGACCACATGGCCACGTCGGGCAGCGGCACGCACAGCAGCCCTCCTGGGGGTTGAGCGGTGAACGCCGCGGGAGACGGTGCGGTGCAAGCAGATTGTGGGTGTTACAATAAAGCTAGCGTGGGTTATGTTTTTAACAAGGTATATCAGTGGTTCTATAACAGATGGGATCTCAGAAGTTCCCCCCCACTTCCTACTGCACTCCCAATTAGTGAAGAGGCCACTGATTACGTGACTGTTTATTTAAAGGTTCCGACATCAATATATGCAGCATTTGCTTCCGCTTGTTGAAGGGGGTCAAAAATACCACGATTCTCATAAAAAATATTGCGGATGCCTCCGAGCACCGCTGCCGAGGGGTGCCTTGCCACGTCGCGTGACATCACCTGCGCCGTCCCCCGCTGGCGACGCGTGCAGGCTCACGGCGGCCGCGCGGCGCTCCAGCATGAGCGCCGCCTGCACGAAGAGCAGCAGGAAGGAGGGCGCGGCGCCGGGCTGGTGCAGCATGGCGAGCAGCAGGCCCAGGCACGTGAGCAGCACGAGCAGCGTGGCGGTGTACGCCGAGCCCAGGCCGAACGCCGCCACGCTGTGACCGCCGCCCTCGTCCGCACCGGCTGCTGCTGGCGCCACCGGCGTCGTCGTCGAGCTCAGCTGGACGTCGAGCGAGCGCGACACGTGCCTTAGTGGGGGGTGGCGGTAGATCCAGATAAACTAAACTTTATTTATGACCTGGCTATCACAAATGATAGCTCAACAAAGTGGCTTATCACGTGGAGATTTAGAGCAGCAGCCAACTACTCTGAAGGAATGTTCATTCTAAATGTGGAAGGAGAAAACTGGAGGACCCGGACAAAAATCCACGCAACCACGGGGAGAACGTGCAAACTCCAAATATTCAGCGGGCGTCAAGGTCGGGATCGAACCCAAGACCTCTATACTAGGCGAGGTAGTTAACATCTTGCCACTGTGGTGCCCAGATGCTCTTTCTCTCGCTGCTTCTCTTGCATTGGAGCGCAAAGCATTGCAGTTATCATGGGGCCCACATCGGTAATGCCTGATCTGGCTTAGGAGGCTAGAGCCGGGGTCGGGAACCTGCGGCTCTGAAACCGCATGCGGCTCTTAAAGGAATGCTTCGTGACGTTGTTTATTAAGGAGGACCACCATCTCATATTTACGTGCATTGCGGCTCTTGAAATAAGAGGTTTTTTTTACCGAATTTGAAATGAAAAATTATTCTTGTTATTGTGGTTGCTGACCCCTGGGCTAGAGAAGGAAACAAATTGTAGGAAATATAAACATCACAACGCTGTCCTGTCTGTCAGGCACCTGTATATCTGTGGGATGACGTGTCTGAGCCTCTCCTCGGGGTGCGCGAACCCCCCTAGCGAGTCGACGAACGGGACCGCGTCGCCGGAGCCACCGGCGGCGGCGGCGTTGCCCCGACGGCGCTTCACGTACACGGCCAGCGGCCGCCACAGCAGCAGCAGCAGCCCCAGCGCCACGACGCCATACACGGCGCGCGGGAACGCCTCCTGCGCCCACTCGGGGACGTGCGACGCCTGGCGCCCGCGCTCGGGGAGCAGCGCCAACGCCCAGTGGCAGCACACGCACAGCAGCGCCACGGGCTGGCCCAGGCGCACCAGCAGCGTGGGTGGCGACAGCAGATCGTTCAGGTTGCCCAGGTGGCGGAGCGCGGCCCGCGTCAACGCCCACACGCCGAAGAGGGACGCGGCGGCCAGCGCCAGCGGGAGGCCGTCGGCACGCGAGCGGCCCTGCTGCCGCGGCGGCGGCACGAGCAGCGTCGAAGGCTCGCAGCTCGTGAGCTCGTCACGGCACACGCGCAGCGTCAGGGCGAGTCGCGAGCAGCACAGCAGACCCAGCGTCAGCGCCACGATGTACCAGCTCTGTTGGCGGCGCAGCGCGGGGCTCCCGGCTACGGCCTGCTGCTGCTGCTGCTGAGCGGACTTCGACGCTTCTCCGCCGCCGGCCGGAAGAGACAGGGTCAGGGTCCCCGACCACTTGAAGCTCAGCAAGGACCACACAGCCACTGACTGGATGAGAAAGGGCAGCACCTGGCTCTCCTGGATCAAGTAGCTGTTTGAGAACGGCGCCAAGAAGCGCAGCGCGAGGCAGCCGCTGCTCGCGATCACGGCGGTGACACTCGCGCCCACGCCGGAGTCCTTGCTGCCGGCCTCTTGCGGACCGGCGGGAGCCGGAGTCGGCGGGGTCCCCAGACATTCCTTGACGAACGCCAGCAAGGACGCCACGCTGGCGCCGCACAGCGCGGCCAGGCACAACTCGGCCTTCGTCCCGGACGCCGCCGCGGCGAAGGCGGCGACCGCTGCCCCCGCCGGCGCTCCCACCAGCGCCGCCGTGGCGACGACCCCAGGGAGCCCTTCCCGCGGCGCGGCCTGGCTCAGGGCGGCGCTCGCCGCGCAGGCGCAGAGCAGCAGCGCGACGCCGGCGAACATGGCGGGGACGCTGAAGCGGGCCCACGACGCCACGCACAGGTTGCGCACGCCGCTCAAGTGGCGGCGCAGCTTCGCCTCGACGTCACGCGCGGTGGCGGCGGTGGCACGGAGGCCGGGGCTCGGGGACGACGCCAGCGAATTGTATGCGGCCGCGGCTTCGGAGAAGCGGCGACGCAGGGCGTGCAGGCCGTCCGGCGGAAGGTCGTCGGACAGCGCTGCGTACGAGTCGAGGAAACGCTGCACCTGGAAACGAGACGCACGCAGTGACAGTGAGCACCAGCCGACAGCTAAACTAAACTATTAATCTATTTTTTTTATTTTACCAGGTAAGGCCCACTGAGCTGTATAGCTCTTTTCAGATGTGATGATAAGCCAACGAAGTGGCTTGTCATCACGTGGACAATTCAAGCAGCCAAATACTCTAAACCTATGTTTCTGAATGTGGAGGGAACAGTCGTTAATAGTTCATGAAACATTGATTGCATATGACATTGGTGCACGGCTCGGCTTCTGAAATGGAAAAACAATCCAGAGGTCACGGACCGGCGCTGGGCTGACTTCGAGATGGCCCTGGCGCAGCTCGATTATACAGCGGTGAAGAGGCAGCAAAGCCTCTAATCCAAATGCCGTGACGTACCTGCTGTGCATTCAGGTGCAGCGCCTGCAGATGCATCGGCAGCTGAGCCAAGTCCGATTCCTCTCGCTCCACACTCTCGCCGTCCGCAGGAATGGGCTCACCCTCCCTGGGAAGGCCGCCGTCACCCTCCTCCTCCTCATCATCCTCTCCTCCAAACATTTCTGGGATGACTTGGCCCAGGTTGCTGTAGGGAATGGGCACGCCTAGCAGCAGCGCCATGCTAGGTACCAGGTCCGTCTGGAACACGGTCCGTGGCTCCTGTGCACACACAGCATCCATCGGTAATGAATGAGTGAAATAGATTACATTTATTTCACGAATGTGTGAAATCAGATTTTGGTTTTTCAAATGTAGTGCCAAACTAGCCACAAGTAACCACAAGTCTTGATGAAAACATCTTGCTTTAAAAGTGACATTTGTTTGTTACACTTTATAAAGCAGGGTTTACCATCTATGTGAAGCAGCACAAGCTATGAGCGATACTTTGAAAAGAATGCCTCCTATTTGTTTACTCAATCCAAACCATCTTGAACGTCTGCCGTGATGATCCACTGTCGGGATGAAGTTCTGCCCAGGCTGTTTCCAACTCGCACAGTCACGCGACTGGCCACGAGACGATTTCAGCTGCTCGGAATATCCTTCTCCGCGTGTACTTCTGCTCTGCGCCTCGAATGTCAACTTTGAAACTGAGATTGATTTATTTTTGTATTAAACCCTCGTGCCCTCGGGTTACGAGGCAGTGCGACGGGCGCACCCGTGGCTGTGCCCCCTTGAACACGGGGATTGGGCTGTAGACGAAGAGGGCGGCGCTGGTCTCGCGCTCGCTCTCCCCGCCGTGGTCGCCCGTCTCCGTCATGCCGTGGTCGCCCATCACCAGCAGCACCGCGTCCTCCGGCAGCTCTCGCAGCAGGTTACTGCAGCGGGGGAGAGGGGAAGCGGGAGAATGCAACAAATATAATGATCCCCCGTATAGCCATCCATAACATACTGTAGGGGCAAGTGCTGTTAGCGAGCACCTATGAAGGCCGGAATGGTACTGAGGGGGTGGGTGGCCAGCACCACACCCGGCCGCCTTTGTCTCCCGAGTGGCGATGTTTACACACCGCACTCGGTACTCATTAGAGGCTGAGTCGACCTAGGGGAGGCCCAGGATCTGTACAGATAATCGTCATTGGTGTTGGCCGTGAGCAGGAACCAAACTCGGGACGCCAGATTTAAAGCGCAGCAAGCTAACCGCTAAACCACCGCTACCCACAATTATACACACATACCTCCCATGCAATACAAACGTGCCAACCTTACAGCTAGGATTATGCGTGGAGCTGTTACACGCAACGGTCCTGTCAGCAATACTCCAAGGGCTTAACAAACCAAAACGAACTGGTACCTCACACAAGCGTGCTCTCATGCGTAACGCAAAGGAGCGTCTGACTCCGCACGCGGAGGAGAGAGCGGCGAGCCGGCGGGCGAGCGGGAGAATGAGTGAGGCAGCACGTGAACGGGCCATGTCGGAAGGCGTGGAGGGTGGTTTGGCGAGCAGGCTGGAAAGGCAGCAGGAAAACCGGCTGGCAAGAAAAGCAGGCGTGTGGGCAAGCTGCTGGGCGGACCGGTGGGCGAGCGGGCGAGCAAGGTGTCCTAACCTGAGCACCTCATTCATCTGCGACAGCTTGTCAGACATGGCCGGGTGTAGCGGCCCCAGGCGGTGGCCAACGTGGTCAACGCCCAGGAAGTGGGCGATGATCACGTCCCAGTCGCTCTTGGCCACTGTGCAAGCAGGCGCGGACGCACACGGATACAACACACGGACAAACCGTGTTGCATTTGCTTGCGTGAAATTCTAACAGTTTAGTTAACTTTCAACTTTCCATGAGCATATTTTCCACAGATTAAGCGTGTCATTCACGCCTTTTACGTGCACTCGTAGCACTGTGAGCTGCTCCTCACTCATCGAGGAGGGTCGGCGATTCGTTGTCCACGCGACCGTAAACACGTGGGCAAATAAGCTGATTACTTAATAAAAACCGACGATGCAGTCTATATCCTCACCTCCATTCCACATTCTACGCAGGTAAATGGTGAATGCGTTTTGGTTTTAGCTTTCAAGTAACCAGTTATTCTTATCATTTTCAACTAAGATAATTGGTGGTATTTTAGTGTGAATCGTTGAAAGTCCATGGTGATATAAATGTCACGTATAATTGAACAATATAATTTTCCACAGGATGAACGTCAATTTAGTTGTGCTACTACCCCTGCACTGAATGACAACTTGTGGTGGGAGCTCCGACCGCATTGCTCAATTCATGATTAACGTTAATTGTGCAATTCGTTTATGTTCATTAATTATTGAAGCATTAATAAGGACAACAGGATCCGTCAGAACCACCCGAGTTGAAAGGGTTTAATCACGCAAGTGCCTTTCCTTACTTCCTGGTGACGGAAACATTCAATTAGAAGGGGGCTTTCAGGGTGTTTGAAAAGAGTTGATGATGGCATCGGAGGATAAGCTACTGTTATGCAAAGGCTTTTCCCGCTTCTACAAAATAACAATTATAAACGCACGAAGAATGTGATTTCTACCCACCCTGTCTTACGCATGTATCTTAAAACTTCCTTCGCACCGTATGTAGCCAACCATGCCAGGAGGCTCACCAGACATGAAACGTTGCAAAATGTAACTTATTATTTAGCAATTATTATGAGTATGGGTATGCTTTGTCATTACCAGTATGAGGTGTGTGGTTCAATTCCCACTGGAACTCGGTATTTTTTGCAAGGCATCAGCAAATCATGCCAACTGCTGAGCAATGTTGAATGTCCCCTGATATCTTCATTGACAAGAGTAGGTTGTGGTGTTTGTTCTACGAGATTTGAAAAATAAAAATCTGTTTATACAAACGTTTATGGTTATCTTATCAAAATAAACGAATCTGAGAAGGCACTACCACTCGGAGGCATAACTTTGATGAATCTATCATCACATACTAAACGGTGTGAAATCACATTCCATCCCGAGTGAAATATAGCATCCCCTGAAAAGACACGAGGTTTGAGTATTCAATATCACAGCCAGAAGGCGCTTCTAAATGAATAATAACAATTATAATTTGCATTTGTAAGGTGCATTTCGTCCGTGGATACCAATGCACAATTCATAATGAATCGGACGCATTGTTCAATCAACAATTCGGAGGTGCAGAACCAGAGCTTAAAGTCGAACAATAATTTGTACCATTGCTCTGTATACATTATACACGGACTCTCACCCTCGCTGTGGAGGTGCTGCAAGATGCCATCGTCCACAGAGTGCAGGTCGCGCACGTTGAGCGACGGGAAGGGAAAGGCATCGGTGGAAATGCGTGGGGAACAGCCCCATCCACGTGTCGTCCCCCAGGAACACCAGCTTCCTACCTGCACCAGCACAGCAAACCCACGTCACGGCGTTACAATTCAAACATGGCCTCCGGTGGGCACAGGCAAGTTTATGCCCTGTGCTCAACGACAGCTTCTAATTGAGTGCCCTAGGACCTATCTTGGACTGTGCTACTAATTTTAGCCTTCCCTAGGCACACTCACTATCTTCGTATTTAATTCCACCACATCCCTCTATCGCTCGGTCTCCCTTTACTCCTGCCCTGCATTGGTGGCATCTCCATAAAACCTTCTCATTGTGTTTTGTCTCTCAACATGGTCGATATTGGTATATCTTCTTCTTCATTCCTCTTCGTTTCGCCGAGAGATATTCCCAACACCGAAAGAGCATGATCATCTCTGTCCTTTCGAGCACTCTGCTTTCATCTTAATACACAGGCCATTCCAAAGAGTTAACCTATGTTCTACCACCGAATACTTTCTCCACTTGTGTTTTTTTTTCTTTATAGCTCCAATGTTGCTTTCAGAAGGGGGGTGGAGAGGGGCTCAGTCCACTCCAGTGCCTCCCCTCCCACCCGACGCTGCGCCACTGACCGGCGGAGACGAGCTGCCCGACGAGGTTGTCTTCTTCCACGCGCGCCGACGCAAAGTTGCTCGACACGTCGATGAAGGTGGGCAGCCCGCCCGTGGCCAGGGCCTTGAGGCGCTGCATCGTGGTGGTGGGGGGGTCGGCACGGAAGCGGAAGAGGCGCGCGTGTCGAGGCGTCGCTTGCAGCGCGGCGTGCAGCGCGGGCAGGCGGTTCTCGTACGGCTTGGGCTCGCTCCTCGCCGCGTCGTACGTGGCGAAGTCGAGGCGCAGCGCGTCGATGACGACCAGCACGGCGCGGCGGTAGCGCGCCGGCACCGACCAGCAGCTCCGGTTCGGGGTGGCGGAGCCCGGCGGTGTGGGCAGGCCAGGCGGGGCGGGAAAGTCGGCGCACGAGCTGTTGCGGACGATCTCGGAGCGGTTGAGCAGGAAGCCGCGCGTGAAGACCCACAGGCCCGTGCAGTAGAGGAGACAGAGCCAAGCCAGCAAGCCCAGGCAGCCCCATCTCCCCATGGTCTCACACTGCAGCAAAAAAACACACAAAGATCCGCCTTGTAGCCTACACAGTGCTGCTGGCGCAGGTGTTGCGAGTACCTATCAAGAAGGCCAGCACTGCGCACGATAGGGTGGTGTGGCCGCCACAACGCCAGGCTACCCTCGTCTCCCCAGTGCCGATTATTCCCATGATGTGAAGTACTGTTACAGTGTGGCAACCACTGCGCCACCTTTTCCTACAATGTCAAAATAACACAGCGCACGTAATGTGTTAAACATTAATCTACTGTACTAGTTAAAGATTTACAAAGTTAAAGAAAAGTAAAAACCAATGGAGGGTTTGAATAAAGAATTCAAGTAAAGTTCAAAGTTGTGATAACTCGGGACACTTTGTGAGCTGGATGTCTTTATGTTATTTCATCTTCACGTTTAACCTGCTTGACCTCTATTTGGCTATTTTAGAGTGAAACTCGTCTCTCACCGACTGAGATCGCTTCCTGTGCTACATTTTCTTCTGGGCAGAGACGTCTCTTGACAATCTGGGGTTTGTCGATTCTAATCAGGGCAATCGCATTCCTGATTTCACCATTTGAGCTCCTCCAAGTCCATTTACGAGAATCACGTTTTGTAAAAGGTATTCAATATTTTAATTCCCCAGCTGGCTGCAAATTCTTAACAGATGTTATTTCATTCCTCACTCCAAGCTAAACTTACCAATCGACCCTCTCTTTTCTGCACCTCGTACCAACGTTACCTAATACGATGATCTAATGCAGTTCACCCTCACTTAACAGTTAATGCTCCTTCATCTTCTGTGGAGCGTGTTTGACCATACTTCACCACGCTGGTCAGTACGGGTTGTTGAAGTTAGGGAGCAAAGCCAAGATGACAAAATAGATGCTGCTCCCTTGCGGTAGTTGTATCAAGAGGGAGTAGTGTTGGCAGTGGTGTAAGAGCAGTCGTGTTGGGAGGCCGATGCACACATCTCGTCCAGAAATGTAAAATTCGACAGACAAGCCACAGCAGTGCGAACCCGGCCATGCAAGCAACAACACTATTGGCATGTTTTATTTAAGTGACATACCTTACTAATTGGCTGTCGGGTGGTGGCGGGTTTAATGACACATTTATACTGCGTTAGTCAGTGTCTGTGTGTGTGTTAGTCTGTGTGTGTGTTAGTCTGTGTCTGTGTGTGTGTCAGTGTCTGTGTGTGTCTGTGTGTGTGTCAGTGTCTGTGTGTTAGTCGGTGTATCTGTGTGTGTCTGTGTGTTAGTCAGTGTCTGTATGTGTCTGTGTGTTAGTCAGTGTCTGTGTGTTAGTCAGTGTGTCTGTGTGTGTCCGTGTGTTTGTGGAAAGCGGTGATGGTAGAGGTGAGCGCGCTGCGCTACGAATCCCGACACCGGCGCCGGACTTAATCTGAACCGGTTCTGTGGCCTCCCTCCCCTAGGTCGACTCAGCCTCAAACGAGTACCCGGCGCGGTGTGTAGTAAGCATCGCCCCTGGGGGAGAGACAAAGGCGGCCGGGCGTGGTGCTGGCCACCCTTCCTCGTGTACCACAGTGGCGGCCTTCGCAGGATTGCAACTCGCGAACAGCACCCGCCCCAACAGTCTGATGAAGGTGGCTTCACGGGGGGATCTTTGTCTTTGCACAACACGACGACGAGATGTTAATAACAACAACAATGACAAGAAGGACAAGAAGGACACGAGGAGCTGTGTACATCACCGCTCCGGCGCGAAGGCTGCAGCGGCGGCGGCTTCCCGAGACGAAATGTGGAGCGAGCGGCCCATGCCAGATCAGAGGTAGTTTTTACCTTCAGATCGGTGTTTATATATTTTTAATTGGTGAGTTTTTTGCATTGCCCGTAACCGCAAGTGCAAAACTGAGGGAAAACCGGTTACCATCTAGAAATGTGTATCGATGAAAGCCGCATTTGTAACCGGTTTTTTTTATGTTTGTTGAGCATACCTGTCAAACCATACGGTTTAATCCATATTCTTGTACTGTACAGCCGTTTCAATACGGGCAAAAACAAATCTATTTGTTTGTGTTGCTCCCTTGTGTCGAGATGTATAAGGGGCACGGGGTGACCAATACGTTCTGAATGTGTCTGTAATAAGGTAGGGCACTGATAAGGGGTTGACAGGGATGAGTTTAGATCGGCGTTTGTTACGCCGGGTAACAGCAAATACATTTTCCGATTCTGTTTGATTGACATGGCCAAGCTCCGCCCACCACCTCTCACCCCCAGCCCCCACCCTTCTCCCCTCACTCCCCCTCACCCCCTCACCCCCCTCACCCCACCCCCAGCCCCCACTCTTCTCCCCTCACTCCCCCTCACCCCCCTCACCCCACCCCCAGCCCCCACCCTTCTCCCTTCACTCCCCACCAACCCCCTCACTCCCCACCAGCCCCCACCCTTCTCCCCTCACTCCCCACCAGCCCCCACCCTTCTCCCCTCACTCCCCACCATCCCCCTCACTCCCCACCAGCCCCCACCCTTCTCCCCTCACTCCCCACTATCCCCCTCACTCCCCACTATCCCCCTCACTCCCCACCAGCCCCCACCCTTCTCCCCTCACTCCCCACTATCCCCTCACTCCCCACTATCCCCCTCACTCCCCACCAGCCCCCACCCTTCTCCCCTCACTCCCCACCATCCCCCTCACTCCCCACCAGCCCCCACCCTTCTCCCCTCACACCCCCCTCTCCCTCCCCCCAAGCCCCCCCAACTCTCCCCCCCCCACTCTTCCCCCCCCCCCCCAACTCTTCCCCCCTCACCCCCCCACTCCCCCCCCCCCCCACTCTCCCCCCCCTCACCCCCCCACTCCCCCCCAACTCTTCCCCCCCTCACCCCCCCACTCCCCCCCAACTCTTCCCCCCCTCACCCCCCCACTCCCCCCCCCCCCACTCTCCCCCCCTCCCCCCAAGCCCCCCCCCCCCACTCTTCTCTTCTCCCCCCAAGCCCCCCCCCCACTCTTCTCCCCTCCCCCCAAGCCCCCCTACTCTTCCCCCCCTCAAGCCCCCCCCCCACTCTCCCCCCCTCCCCCCAAGCCCCCCCCACTCTTCCCCCCCACTCTTCCCCCCCACCGCAGTTCGGCCCATGACGTCACCAACGAACGCCACCTCGGCCCTGTTGGCGAGGGCGCCATTCCAATTCCGCAGCGCGGATAAGCGCTCCCCGCGAGCGCTCGCGCGCCCCCATTGGCCCGCGCGGCCACGTGGGGGGGACGCCGACCAATGGGGAGCGCGCGACGCGGCGGGCCCCGCCCACGAGGCGTGGGAATTTCAATGCGAGGGCGAGAGAGGCGGTGTGGCGGCGAACGCATAAACAGACGGCGGAGAGAGCGCAGAGGTAGCGAGAAGACAGCGCAGAGACAGCGAGGAGAGGGCGGAGACAGCGGAGAGAGAGAGGGGAGATAGAGAGCGGAGAGAGAGCGAAGAGAGAGAAGCTTCCCGCCCTTCGCTGCAGCTCGCTCACAACAAGCTTCACTAAACCACCGCGGCTTTATCGGCCACCGCCAAGTCAAGCGCCGCGTTCCTCCTTCTCTCTCTCGTCCGCTAACGCCGGGCCCGTGTGGCGAGTGAGCAGGAGATGTCGGATCCGCAGGGCGATGCGCAGCCTAAGGACAAGGAGAACCAGGTAACAGGCGGCGGCGGCGGTGGCGGCGGCGGCAACTAGGCCACATGTTTGCGGCCTTGGTCGAGGGGCTCGCGGCTCCCCCTCCCCACGTCCTCTGTAACGCGGCGTGTGGCTGATGTCACTCTCTCGTGTAAAGGCCTTGGGGGTCTACCGCAGGGCCACGCGTCCCGTGTGTGTGTGTGTGTGTGCATGACGCGGCCCAGGGCATTATTTATAGAAGCGGGTAAGGAGGGCCCGCCCGGCCTCCCCCGATATGTGTCAACGCATCCTCACGAGGACTAGGTGGGGCTGAAGTGACGGGCCTGTATGGGTTGTTTAAAGTCATGCATCTCGCAAAGTAATCGATAACACCAAGCAAGCCCCCCCCCCCCCCCCCCCACGTCTTGTCTCGGCACAAGGCGTTCTCTCTAGAATCAAACTTTTACAATGCCTCCCCTCCCATATCTCCTCACACATTGCGAGGTGTTCATTTCATACATGCCAACGCATACTTCATGGAAGTAGGTGAGGCCACATTGTTATTACCGCCTCAAAAGTCAGCGATTTACTGCTTAAATACGCAACGATTTGCTCGTCTCCTGCCTTAGGTGTCCTGAGCCAGTGAAGGAAATTCCACATTGATGTGTCCGGGTGCGAATTCCACCCATAGAAAGCAACTCCTGCCGATTTCCCCACAATGTTGGTATTCGTTTGACTCGATCCGGAGGGATGGTGGTGGACCGATTCTACCCTCAGCGTCGATTTTAAGTCGCAACCTTGTGATTGCGAGCCGTACGCTCGACCGGGGAGCCACTGACCCAGTTTATTACCAGCACCACCTTAAATTTTGATTTAAAGCTTTCGTGACTGCAGGGATTCATCTTCTTGGTTCTTGGTTCTTTCGGTAAAGTCACGTAGAAGGGAAGTATTACTTCCCTTCTACGTGACTTTACCGAAAGAACCAAGAAGATGAGCACCACCTTAATCTAATCGGTTACAATTGAATTTGAGGTTCACTTCCTCCCTAGAAAAGCGCTTTATTGAATAAAGTTATTCGCATTGGCTTCACTGGGATACATTTCCTTCATATTAACCTTGTGATGGTCCATTTTAGAGCCTCAATCGCCACGGTGTGACGTGTCCGTGAATTTTATTGAATCAGGTGAATGCCCATTTGAGATTCGGTAATTCTACATGCTTTATTGCATCTGGTTAAGCCCAATTGATATTCAATACAAAGGTGATAATTTAATCTGTGAAACTGATTGAGATTTGTCACCTTTAGGAATAAGACTTTCCTTATTTATTAAATAAAGTAAGTGCTCCTTTGAGATGCATTATTCCTGCTACAGGTGATATAGCTGTTATTCAGCAAGTTAAACGTAGCTAATACTTGTAATGTTAGCAAGACGAGGTAGTCGTACTCCTGAAATGTTACTCCTGGGTAGTTCAAGACGTTTTGATTTGTTTTGTAGAATTACACTCAGCGAATATTTTTTTATGATAAAAGAGCGAGTAGGTATTGTATCATCATTCCAGCAAAGATGAGTTGAGTGCTCAAGAGCTTAAGATGTGGAACCTACACTTGTGTGGGATTAAAAACTAAGACTGTTTGGAATGGTGTGTATTTTGTCACCCGTATGCTGCAATGTTGTGCTTGACTTTTGATTTGATTAGGTTTGCGTGAGTGAGAAACATTCAGGCTTAAACTATTTTACAAGAATGACCCGTGGAGGGCCTTGGTGGGAAAAAAATGAGGTTGCAGCATATAAAGGAAAAACATTGCAGACACTGGGTAGCAAACACATTCGAGGAAAACAACATTCAAGTCATGCACCACTCAAGTAACACTGGCAGTAGGTAACACAGAAATATAACACTTACTCGCACGGGGTTTGCTCGCCACTTGCAAAAGAAGGGAGATTTTAATTCAAGAAAGGAGTTGCAAAGGCCTATGTTCACTAATGCCGTGTAGGTGGTGACATGGCCAAGTTGGGAGTGCTTTTGCCACTTGTTGCCGAGGTTTGCAGTTGGGAATCGGCAGGCCACCATAAAATGCGCACGGTCTGCTTCACAGTGAATGTCAAACAGCCCCTTCAAAATGAGTAGACCATCGTGTCCCAGCGTCATAATCCACATTTGATTAATAAAATATATATATACAAGTCCCTCAATTTGAATTACACATGACAAGCATCTGTGAAACTACTGCAGACTCTGAGACAAAGAAATTGCACGAATACCAAATATATACGATAATTATTTAAAAATATATTATAGAGAATACCAAAGCATCAATAAAAAAGTTTGAGTATGTGGATGTTTTTATAGTTTATACCTGGACTGGGACATAAACTAGCAGTTTTAGGCTACAGATTGTGGGATTAAATACCTTTCAGTGTGAGTGTGAACTTGCAACATCTGCAGGATCTATTCGGAGTGAAGCACTGGACCTTCTCACACGTGTATTCTGTGTCGACGATACTCATGACTTGGCTAAGTGGATATTAAAGTGCATCCGGCATTTTTTGAATGCTTACCTCACTTCCCATTATCTCCCGCCTCTGCTGGCCAATTAAAACATCTTGCAATCGTGAAATAATTGGACTGCCCTCGTAGGTTATGATTTATTGCGCGATTTTATTTGGAAAATGTATTCTGTTTAGCAAGCTTTCATTCACGTAATCTCTCATTACCACACCTCCAATGAGCACGATTACCTACGTGTGGCGCAAACGTTCTGCATACATACATACGCTACAAGCACACAACTCAAACTCCCTGTTGGTTAGGTTCTGGCTTGCTCCAACTTTTCTTTTAACTGACATGAACAGAGTAGTGCGTCCTGGCATTGTGCACAAATCCCAACTACACCCCGCTGTGTAGCACTATAAATGTGACACCTGCCACCCCTAATTCAGGCCCATCACCCCTATTCTCTTAGCCAGACGGGTCGTAACATCCACATTGTCAGTGTTTTCGTAGCGTTGTCAGCAGAACCTCCCCCACTGTTGGCTGCCAAGAGACCAGTAGTATCCCAGCCTCCCTAGGCTGCATCACACGCCTGTCTCGAAAAGTAGCGTTGCAAACGTATTGCTATTTAGTGTTACTCTTCCCTGTCTTTGAGAAACTGTGTATACAACTCTTTCAGTGACGTAACATGTCCCCTTTTATGTGTCGGCCCAGAGGACCTTCAGTTCCACCTTTTAATGTGCTCCTTTTCATCACTCAGCCATTCAATTTGTCATCTATTCATTAAAGTCTAATCATATATTCCAGCAATTGCCAGCATGTTGATGAGACTTGCTACAGTTCATTCAAAGGTTGTCCATTATTCTTTATTTGAGGTTAGACTGTGTTTTCCCATGTATAATTATTCCCTTGAATACAACACAAAACCAAGACACTAATTGCCATCCAGTCACTTCACCCTGTAGAATCATTGACAGCATACCAATTGTAACCAGCATAATGTGTTTACCACTGACAGCTTGTCTGGCTCAAGTCCTTGCAAGTATCCACATGGGCCATATTCTTGATGGTTTCAACATCCTAGCTTGATCAGATGGCCCTGTGTAAACTGCCAATATATGCCAAGTTGGGTGTGATGTCCCTCGTGTCATCAGCCAGTCGCATGTTCGTTTCAATAAATGATGCGTGCACTGTCACCTCGCATGTAACGGTGAATCAATCATCCGTCTCCTATTATTGACTAAAAACGCAGTCTGCTATAACAAACAGTTTTTTGCATTGTCAAAGCGTGCTCACCTCAGTAATCAGAATAATGAGATTTTGTCATATATATATATATACACTGGAGCAATCTGATGAGCTACAAAGCACTTTTTGACATATGCTCGGTAAACCATTTCGCTGATTAAGCTGCACTTGGCTGCCGTCAAGACCGTCGGCGTTGAGTTGCGGAACGTTGAGTTGCGGAACGTTGAGTTGCAGAACGTTGGGTTGCAGAACGTTGGGTTGCAGAACGCGGCGTGGGGGGGGGCAACGGCATGGAAACCCGGAGGGTTGCACGACGTCACAGCTGCCGGTGGTGGTGAGACTGGGATTTGTAGAGTAGGAGCTTGCATAATTCGTTCTCACGACTGGTTGGATCAGTAGGGTCCTGGAGAAGTCGGGGGGGGGGGGTGGTACTGACGGGGGGGCTACAACGTGAACGTTGATCCATTGTCTACTCGGTAAATTTACGTTGTGTATCTGCCCCCCCCCCCCTGTTCTCCTGCACTCTAGTCCGCAGTATTAATGTCCTTTGGGGACGATACATTCCATGTATCTTCCACCAAATTTTTTGCTACCTTTTACCATCTTTATTGAAGGTGGATATTATATTCAGTAATGAATTTAATGGATAAATAAATCTCATGAAAAATTTTACTTTTTTTTAAATCCACTGTAGGTTTTCTGTTGACGTTGCTAAATTGCAAGTCTTTAAAGCCATGCGACTACAATATCCATTATAGGGAGGGGGGTATGTTTGGTTAAATTTTATGTTACTTCTAGACAGCTTGTGACATTGGTGATAATGGTGGTGGTCTTAGTATTGATAGTGGAAGTAGAGATTATAGTGGTGGTAAAGATGGTGGGATCAGTGGTGGTGATAGTTTTGTAATGATGCCGATAAGATGGGTGGTGATCGCAAGGGTTGTGGTGGTCGTCGTGACAGTGATGGTTATTGTGGTAGTGGTATTGCTGGTAATCGTGATGTTGGCTTTTATGATTTTGATGAGATACTGATATTAACTATAATGGTGTTGGTGGTGATAATGGTACAGTGAAGGGATTTACTATTAATGTCATGAAAACAACCAATTTGTGCATTGTCATCAATTAAAATGGGTAACTCTTTGGCTGAAATTAAAGATGTGATCCATTCAGGAATCAATAGTTCGAGCACTTTTGCTTTGCAATGTATCTACACCTCATCGCTCTCTCCATTACAGGAACTTCCAACAAACATTTCTGTGGTCTAGAAATCGACAGTTCAAACTGGTTTGGTGATAAGCACAGAGACCCCTTAAGATACTGTGAATAGAGGCCAAATGTGCAAGGCGTGGCTCCACTGTGTTAGGAATGCATGTAATTCAATAGTTTCTGTACATACACGATGGATTTACAATGTGCATTGGGATATAATAAATGCAATTCATGGTACATTGTGTGAATTTAAAGTGCAGGTACTTGACTACATTTTTATATTTGCCAATTTCACGTCGATGTCAAATTTCATATTCGTGTATATCATGCGAAGTTGTAGACGTGTATTTGATATATATATGGTAAGATGTTTAAAATATACCGTAAATTCCAGTTATCTATTTATATTGCGAAAACATGTATTAGGTTAAGGCTGCATAAGCAACAGATTACCAGTCGTGTGCGATGGAAAATGCAATAATCTGGATTTGAGAGGGGGAAGTGAACATTTGTTAATCGAAAAGCAAAAGGGTGCGTGCCCTTTTGTTTTTAGTCTCGACTTGGTATGTTCTCTGGCTCTTCTGCATCGGTTTCTTCCAGGTTCTCCGGTTTCCTCCTATAGCTAAAAAAAGACAATGTAACTGTTATTGGCAAAGCATTTAAATGCTGAAATATGTACCTGCAAAATTACTTAATTGGAATTGCACGCAGCAACATTGCCTCCCCACTGCAAACATTTAGCAGGACCTTCTTGAAAAAGAGTGTTGTGACGAAGGGAGGCGTTTCTGGGTGAAGTATAAAAAATAATACAACTTTTTTTTGATTATGCAAATTTATGGGAGGCTTGGATATAGTAGTGTTAATGAATAGCAAGCACCTCACTGTCCTGAGCTCAATTTCCTGCCACGGTTAACATCAGTGGCATGCGATGTCCATCGTGGTCCTGGGCACCCCCTTCACCAACGAGAACTCGCCAGCATATTGACGTATGGTCAAACAAACTCCCATGTCAGAAAATCAATGGGAGGCCTTCATCAAGGCAAGGATTGATCAAGGACTACACACGTGGTAGGAGGTTAAGTAAGGGGAGATTCCAGCAAGTAACGCTTGATGCCATTGTTTGTTTATATTAATGCCCTGCAATGCAAGGTGTTTCTTCTCCACATGCAAACAAGGCACTATGCCAAATAATACAGGCCACAGCTTTGGGGAGTGGGGGGGGGTACAGTTTTCATGACCCTGCGGTGTTACGCTTGTTGAGCCCCTAACACAAAGCAGACACTGGTGCAGATTTTTTGAATGGATGTGAATTGTGATCTACACATGTGTTGGGTAACACTCCCTGAGGCATTGCGCCAACATTAAGTTTGTGGGCTCCGCTTCGGGAAAGTGACGCATTGTCTGGGGGGTGGGGTTTGTTGTCTTCACAGGTAACATGCGGTGGTGAATTTATAAGTAATTATAAATGTAATGGGAAGTGACTTCATAAGCACTCATAACCAGGCTGGTTCTGCTTCCCAGCAGCAGAACCCGGGCCTGCTTTTGTGTGCTCAATATGGGTGTATAATGACTTTTTTTCTTCGCGTTCCAATTAACAATTAATCCGATTGCACACGTCAAAATAGACGCTGCTGGTAGCTTCCCAAAACTAGCTGCCCACTGTTTTGTTGCAAGGTTTTGCAACGTGGCATAGTGAATCCATCGTTACTGAACCCATTGCATCATGTCAATCACTGTGGTCTTAAGCTGAGGCTTAATATCAAAATCTCTACACCCCCCCCCCCCCCCCATATAACTTTGAACTCTTTAAATGTTGTGCAATATCCCACTGCATTCTCATTAATTGTTTTTTCTCTTACACAATTGCACATTATTGAGTTGTTTTTGTCAGGCCAATGGGTTTTACATTCGAGGCTAGGAAGGCCAGAAGGCCTGAGAGAGTTCAGAAGAGAGACTTCATCTCATGACAATATGTTGATGGCACAGTGGGGGGGGGGGTACATTTGGGGGAATGACAAACGATGTATAAATAACATCTAAACATTTTGAGAAATCGATAAATCTAATATAAGAAATTATAAGGAACACACCTGGTAGTGTTATTGATCTTGATGACCTGGTTCATGCAGTTTTTGTATGAGCATGCATTTTAGAAATCGCCTTTTTACATTTCCACGATGACCTACAGCAGAATATCACGTGCGATAGCAGACATTTTATAGATGATTTTGAATAAAGTTACATGACACTAGCTGCTCCTAAGTGTCAACTGATATAAGCTCTAACAATGTTTAACAAATATAGTCGAGTGTGCCAGTGAGCAACTCAACCGAGATGTGCACAATTCTGTCAGATCTCAGACGCTAAGCAGGTTGGAGCCTGGATAGTGCTTGGATGGGCGACCACCATGAACATCACGTTGGTTGTCTTAGGCTGCTGTGGGTCAGTGCGGCAAAAACATATTGCACTGTACCCTCTATGCTCCCACATCTCTTCTCCCATCCTTCACCAACCCACACTTTGCAAGTGTAAGGAAGTACGGTAAAATTACCACCATGATAACCCAGACGGTAGTGGGTAGGCCTTCATCCAGCAGTTTATTGAGTGTATACTTAGTGTTGTCGAGTTTTGCCTCCATAACCAGTGTCTGAATCTTTGCACTGCTTGATGTTTTGAAATTGTGTACCTGGAGGTGGTTTTATGGGTGTCCAAATCCAACATTATACTTGGAGTCATTCAAGTTTTTTGGTACAACAGTGCGACACTAAAGCTGATATAAAGTGGGCTGAGCCTGCTGCTAATTACTAGTTAAAAACTTGACTCACATGCCACTACGCACAACAGATATCATTAAAATAGACTATGTAATGACGGTGTGGGGTTTGTATGTGTGCGCTGCAGCGAGTACCGCTGGAACAGATTGAAGAGGCCAAGCTGAGAGCCAAGTACCCCCAGCTGGGACCGAAGACTGGGGGCTCTGCCTTCCTCATGAAGCGTCTACACAAAGGGGTACGCCCCCTACTCTACCCCTTTGCGTATGCACACAAGTGCGCACAAAACAAAGATGAAGACAAAGATCGCCCGTATAGCTTTAACAGACTGGGGCAAGTGCTTGTCAGCGAGCACCTATGAAGGCCAGCCTTGTGGCACACGAGGCGGTGGGTAGCCAACACCACGCCCGGCCGCCTTTGTCCCCCTAATGGCGATGTTTATACATTGCGCCAGGTACTCATTTGAGGCTGGGTCGACCTAGGGGAGGCCCAGGACCAGTTCAGATAATTGTCCCTGGTGTTGGGAGTGAGCAGGAATCGAACCCAGGTCGCCAGGTTCGGAGCGCAATGTGCTCACCGCTACTCTACCACTCCCTACAAGCATGCGCGCACAAGCACGCAGAGACAAACATCCACCACACAGACTTCATAGACTGTTCTCTGCCCAGTGCTGATGTTTATGTATGCATTGCACCAGCTCTCATTTTAAAGCGGAGTCCACCTACGGGAGCCCCAAAAGCTGGTTCTGATATCACTCGTCCACTGATGTCAGCCGTGGCCAGGAATTGAACCCAGCTAATTGGGTTTGTGGGGCAGTGAAACAGACCACCATGGCACTGCCTCCCACAGTGCTATTACATGTACGGTGAGAACCCAGACAGCTGGATTTCACATTTAGCTGTACTATTATGTTTAACATTCTGAATGAAAAGGTCAGAGCAATAAAATTGTACAAAACCAATACGATGTAATTAAGAATGCTATTTAGTGGTGGATGGCAGGGAGGAGGGGTGATGGTGGGGGAGGGTGGTTTGGCACATGGGTGCAATGCACTTCGGACCGACGGACACATCGACAGTGCTTAACGGCACAGTACACACACACACACCATGAGGGTTTTATATTGCTTGGTCTGTACACGAACGCGGACCTGGAATGCACACCCTGATATGTGTACTTATACTGTTGAGTACGCGGCCGTCTGGAATGCTCTTCCGTCCGATATAAGGAAGCCATTGGAACTATGCACTCTTAAATCTAGATTGAAAACTCGTTTCTTTGGAACTGCCTTTTGTGTTTAGTTTGTCCTTCCCCTGCACCTCCGATTAGCAGAGTTGGCTATGTACGATCCGGCTCAACACTATGGGACAAGGGTGGTGACGTCATTGCGCAGATGTGCACAGTGACATCATGACCGTGCACTTACCTGCCTGCGCACCAGGCAGCAAAGATTTAAAAAAAATATTTTGCATACATTTTTATTGAAATTATGGCTTGTCAGGCTTTCCAGCGAGCCAAACCGTGACTCCCCCATATTAGTCTGGCTCATTGAGGTTTTTCTGTAATCTTGTCTTTTGTAATTTTGCATTCATTGTAAATGTATCGACTGTGATGCAACGTTTGTAATTGCGTGGATTAATATGTTGTTAATATTAATTCCAAACATGGAGTTATTTTTACCTGTAAAGCAATTACATTTTACCGCATCAATATTGCCAATTTGCATCCTTATTGGGTAAAGCACCTTCTTGTGGTATCCCACCAATTTGTCTACAGAATCTCAATTGAGCAGTACTGTTTTTTATGCATTTATTTTTAAAAACATAACATGGAAATAAACTATGTATTTAACAAGGTATTTTTTTATGTTAAAGTAATGGGCTCCAAACTCTCCCCTCAACCCACGCAGATTTCTGTTAGAGGCTAAACTGTGTTGCTGGCCTCCCACTTCCCCCAGTCTGTCGTGTACGGGTGACAGTACCTCCTGCTGTCTTGATTGCGCTGCCTGTGATGCAGTGGTGAGGTCGTATCCCATTTAGAAATCTGACCTTTCCGATGATAAACAATGCCGAAAGCCACCTTATGGCATTGTTTATCACATCCATGACCAGCATCAATAACAGCTGCTGCCACCATCGCCACTGGGAATAGAGCGATTTTCTCCCCTTGTGGCTCGAGGCATGGTCACATTTCATTTTTTTACATTGACAAATGTAGAACGTCTAGTGGCTGCAGGGTTCACCTGAACAAATGACGTACAAGAGAGTACATATAAATAATAAACAAGTTATTCTTGCTTGCCCAATCCTACGCGTAGATAATGAGCATAATTATCTATTGCAATTGATTAAGCTGATAACTGTATTATCGCCACCATTATTATTAATTCACCACTAAAAATATATTTACAATTATTTGAAAAACCTTGTAATGTTGATAAAAAGTACATGCAATGGATGGCTCTCAAACTTATGATCTCAATCCTTCTCAACTTAACATCAACATTATTAGGAGAGCCGTCGTGGTTCAACCACGAGGGATATTTTCCCACAATCTTCCCAAATTCGTGGCCAACTTAATTTTGCAACGCGTGACATCGAGAGCGGGGCATGGTTAAGCCACGCTCGCTCGGCACGACAATGCCACGCGACTCGCCATTGATGAACCCTCTCCCGCGTTGTGTTTTTCCTCCTCCCCCGCAGCAACAAAAGTACTTCGACTCCGGCGACTACAACATGTACAAGGCGAACCAGAAGAATAAAGCGGTGGCGGCTGCGGCGGCGGCGGCCGCAAACAGCGAGCCTGCGTGCGACGCCGGGCCCGAGAAGGAGCCCGTAACGGGAGACCACATCCCCACGCCGCAGGATCTGCCACAGCGCAAGCCCTCGCTGGTCGCCAGCAAGCTGCTGGGTTGAACGCACCACGTGCTGCCGCCTCGCCTCGCCCGCCCGCCCCACGCACGCACACTCTCACTCGCTCGTACCCTCGTCTGCCCCCCATCTGACTCGCGAGGCTTTGGGGTTTACTGTAGGATGCTAGGGGTGTTGAAACTCGCGCGCGCACGCACACCATTGCATACAACCGTCCCGTTTGGACGTCCCCTGTCTACTCGATACAGGTTGTAGGGGATAAATGTGCTGCACACGAGTACACACTGGTACATAGGTGCTTATACACGTGTGTACCCCACGTGCAAGTGTGTACTGCACGTGTGCATATGTGTATCTTGGCAAAATTTAATTGAACCTCATTTTAATTAGCAAAGTGAATTCTGCTGGGTTGTCCAATTTTTCGCACTAATTACAGATGATCTGGTAATGGAGTGACTGGTCGTTTTTGTCATTCGCCATTGGCTGCTCGTTCTGCATTGAACACTCTTGACTAATGAAGTGCAGCAGCTTTTGTAATTAACATTTTTTTTCGTTTAACATTTATCCTTTTCTGAATAATAATTGTCTGTCTTCACTTTTAAAGGCCTATTTTGCGTTCATTGCAGCCTTATTTGTGAAGTGGTGATTTAAAAGCAGTCGTTCTCATCTCTGCGATGCTCCGGAACCAAAATCCATTCCAGATTTTCACCTCTCCCGTTTAGCAGAGTCAGAATGCACATTGCATGATCAATAATACGGCTGAATGAGGATGAGTCGCTGAACACGGGAGAGCTGAAATGGATTCTGCTTCCAACGAGTGAAACTTGAGAATTTCCGGTTGAAAACGTGACGTCTCAGACACAGAAACAGAATGCAGCGTTGTGACTCGCAGTGTAAGTTGTAAAGAAAAAATTAGGCCTTAAGTTTCCAGCATTTGTCCCCATGTGCCTTCAATGAAGGCCTCATACAATTCAGGTGCAAACCCGTTGTTTTTTAATTTGCGGCAGGGAACACGTTTCTGTTGTGAAGAATACCGTTGCAGTGAGATGCACATGGCTACAGCACTGGGCTGCAGGCACACAATACGGGCAGTCCACTGCAGTGGAGAGCTCGATTGTACAAATTCCAAACGGAGTTGAATTTATTCCAATGATTCCGTGAGCCCAGACTAGATATCTCACTTCTTGGTACCGCTTGAGGTGTCGTAGCTTTAGTGATACAAATGTCTTGGCCATTAATAATGGATTGTGTAATAACTATTTGAAATGAGTAGGTTATAAAACAATTCACTCTTATTAGCCATATAATACAATCTGTACAAATAAAGTGTGGTGCCTGAGGTGGTACCAATATTTGCTCCGGCCCATGAACTAATTTGAAAAGCTGTGTGTTGAGGAGTTGCATGATCAAACCGAATCTCATAATAAGAGATTTCTGACACTACTGTCAAATGCATTCTATAATTCTATAATGTTAGCAAAATGGGAAAATGTTCTCGGGTTTTCAAAATGTGGATTTGGCACCTGAGAAACGGCACGGTGCAATTGCGACCTACCCCAACTTAGAAGGTCCCCTTGAGGCTTGTTTAGTCTTCTCTGTCTGCTGTCTAGCCTCAACTGAGCCAAAGAGCCACCCACAGCCCCTGCGTATCGCCGTCTCGCATTGTGGGAGCAGGCCTGCCATTGCCATGTGGCGCATCATCGAGTGGTGGTTGACCGAAAGGTTAAAGTTTAAGCGTGGATTCATTTTCCTATTTGGGGTTGCTTTATTCGGCGTTTCTTAAGCTTTTGCCACGCACGACTGCGGCCGTCTTCAGGAGTTGAAGTGCTCGCAAAAGTGCACTTGGATTATAAGTTGCTGCGAAAAGGTAAATGTTTAAAAGGTTAAGGTTGGTAAAAAAAAAATACAATGGACAGTGAAAATATCAGGAGGTAATAAAGACTTAGCATTATCACTGTTTATCGAATACACCTGCAAATGTACATTCTGCAGCAACGTGAGGTTTAATTACTATAAAATATACATTTCCACGCATACAGCGATGTAATGTAAGCATGCATGACGATTCATATTTTTTCAGAATGTTGCAGTGGGGTGGGGGGGGTGATCTCAACATTCATACGTTGTAAATATTTGCGGCGTGCCTCGTGGCTGATGTCCCCGCAAGGCGACGCTGAACAGGCAGGGCCCTCCAGTCTCGTGACGTCGCTAGTCCGTGACGTCACAATTACTCCAGGCACACCAGACGGGTTGGGCAGTCGCGCATCAACATTCGTGAGCAGCCCCCCCCCCCCCCCCCCCCGTAGCTTCGTGCCCACCTTTCACGCCGGGGGGGGGTCAATTGTTCTGGTCGAGAATTCTGCATCGCATGAAACTGATAACCTTTCCATCGTGGTAACCCTCTTGCAGCTCCTTGAGAGGTATAACACACGCAAGGTAATTGGTTACGTGTGGTGGCGGTTTTCTAAAGACGCTGCTTCTTAAGGAGGACTTGAAATCAAACATTTAGGTTGTGTTCAATCTGAAGCCGGTGTTTCAAAAACACGTTCCTTCGGAGTGGGCAGGTTGGAACTTGGTTGGACAGCGCATTCGTGCACGACAGACAGACGATCCCTGGTGGGCAGTGTGGAACCTGTTCCTACCTGTATTACCTTTTAGGGGATTGATTTAAACATTTGTAAGGGAAGCTTTGGGAAATATGGTTGTGTTGGAACGTGTCATTGTATATGTTTAAACTTTAACTGTGAGCAGTTTGCAGCTCCGGCTTTATGATACACCGTCACCTAAATTTGCTCGTGATAGCCACACGGTCATTATTACCTCCTTCATAGCACACTTTGGTGATTCCACGCGAATATAAACAGGACATAGAGGTGGCTGGGTGCCTCGGGGGGGAGGGTGAATGTTAGCACCGTAGCCGGCACATCTGGAATCATGGGTGTGGATGTGGACAACCACCTCTGAACAACCCCAGCTTTTCAGAGGTTGCAAATTAACGTCCTCTGTCTTCTCACCGATGACCGGACACAGATGGAAATGTCCTGCTATGACTCGACTCAAATTTCACAACTGGAGTGTAGTTGAAGGTGGGGGGAGGGGTGAGATAAAATTAAGAAAAAAAACAATTGGTTGAAAATGTTACTTTTTAAGCCCATGTTGAACGGGTTTGTGGTGAGTACACATACAGCGCGATGTGCTTTGGTCAATTCGGATTTGAGGCGTGATACCATGCTGTTTAGCGTTCAGTTGTAAACGGTGAAGCCGACGTACGGTGTCCATAAGGATGCGCAACTATCCATAGGACTACCCGACTGCCAATTCGAGCTGCTTTTCACAGCCCATGTTAAGCAGGTGAGCAGAGAGCATAGATCGATGAGCTCATTAACTTTCACGTTCGACGACTTCAAGCAGCATGGTTAAACCGCCATAACCCTTGACCTAGCCAATGCTAATATGTAACGTATTTAGCTTGTTTTTATCAATGGATCATTTCAATTAAACCGCTGCAAAGCAAGTTTTGCATGAAAAATGTCGATGTAATAGATGAAGGTGCAACAGTTTTAAATTGGCATGTGTCCTGTTTAGGACCTTCATTTTGACAACTCGTACACTGGAATCCACCTTACAGTGTGGCACTCCACACAATGTGTACATTTTGACATTCCTTGCCCAGGAAATTCTGAGTGGTCACCGGTCTTTCAAGAGGTTTCTGCTTGGGAAGTTTCGCCCCGTCCATATTTTTATGCTTATGCTCGTCGAATAAAACCCGAGTGTCTGGAGGTAATCGACAAACTGCGGAGGAATCGCCTCCTGCCATCAATGTACTTGCTGTGCTGCCTCCTGTGGGCCTCTTGCTTCTCCATCTGTGTGGTCCACCAACTCTGCCTCCCAAGTCTCTACTACAGGCGTATACCACCACATTTGCCTTGCCAGTACTGGAAGACTGTGGCGTGTCGGCTGTGATGTTTAGTTCCGTCTGTGTAACGCAAAGACATTAACGGATTGAAGCCGTCAGTTTAGTGTGTGTGTGTAAGCGTGCGTTGTGGAAGAAAAAGTTAATTCTGTGTTGCCTAAAGAGTTCTGGGAATAATTATGGGTGCACTGAATCGGACTTGCTATCTTGCCGAATATATTAGTTGATATCTGACCCGGTTTGAATTTGAAACCAAATAAAGTTTTTATATATACACAAAAAACAAACTCGCGTAACATACACTGATAAATAATGTAGAATGTAAATGCTGCAATGAGACGAAACATTTTAAAAGCGCGTGTTTAAATGGGATCATGCAGATAATACAGGTTTAGGGGTGACTTAGACTAATTGAGTGGGATGGTAACAAAGGCGGATAAAAATGTCAATATTGAATATGTACTTACATTTTTTATATTTACATCGAGTAATAGATACCCAAATAGCAAAAATATTACCGGATACTGGCTCGATCTAAAATCAAACTGTATATTCGGTGTACCCCGAGTGAGATGTTGTATAGCAGGTGATAAAACGACGACTTGAGCCGAGTCTGTTCCATCATGAGTGGCCGGATAGCTTTGTGGTTAAAACTTCGCTGTCGCTTAAATTAAACACTCGCAGGCCACTCGGCGCCATTCACAAATGCAAACCTTTGACAAGTAACCCAAATCACAAAATGTTACCATGAACAAATATCAATGACGGGAACTATTCCTCTAACTACATTTGCCATAGTCTCTCAAATGAGCTCGGTGAGAATTGTTGCAGTAAGCCTCGTACAATGGCGATGGTCGGCGTGGTCCTGCATTGTGTGATCAGTTGCTTAATGCCATATGGTTGTAACCCCCAATAAGATGAAAAAAGATATCCACCTGCACTTTAGAAGAATGGGATACAGCTAAGATATATGGAAGCCATGTTTTCAAAGTCTAAAGATATTTTTGTTATCACGTTTGAGAACATTGAATGGAATCAATCTTAAGACTGCTCTAATGGCCACGCTTGAAACTTCATGAAAATTCACGCTGGTAGATATCAATTCCTTTTAACTAGTTAATGACCATTTTCGCTCATTGCAGAAGAGACGAATGACCATGTCGCTTTGAAACACTTCTTAAATTGAGTTCATTTTAATAAGTCCGGGTAAGAGTCCTAAAAACCCATAAGAATCTTGTCCCATGGAGGCTTGGAAAAAAGATTTTTCTTAATGTTATTTGCCAGTAGAATTTGACACTGCCAACACAGTCGACTATTTCTAGGAACCGGTAATGGAGATTATTTGTAACATCCAATCTACAAAAAACGGACAATACCAGGGTCTTGTGGAAATTGAAGTGATGATCCATACAATTCGGCACAGTGGCGAGCAATTCTTCCCACTAAGCCTCCCAGCCACCTATATGTTCCTGTGTATCCATGTGTGTGCAGCATATATTGGGACGAAAACAAGCCTGGAGGATCTTTTATTTTTTTTTCTGTTAAAATTTATTAACGTTTTATAGCAAGAGGATGCATCGTAGTATTTTCAAAACTATGATTTCGTTTGACTTGTCAAAGTGTGTAGAAGTGTTGTGAATTGAAGTGGCTTTATGTTGTCACCTTTCCATAGCAAGACCCCTTTTTGTGTCTTTCTGTTGCGGACATGTTGATGTGTTGGTGTCTTGAGTAAAACAGACGCTTGCCCCAATTAGGCGTTTCCTTCCTTACAGCTGTGGAGATGTGATGGTGTGCTCTAAGACTTGTAACGATAGTTCCTTCTGTTCGTAACATCTTAGGCTCAAGGCCTTCCCTCTCTAATATCTCACCTGCCTTGCAATGAACATTCCAGTCTCGGCTTTGCATTTCGCAAATGTATACATTCAAGGTGTCAAATGACTAAGCATTGTGGCGAGACTTTATAAAACAAGAAAGAATGGGCTTTTCCATTAAGCTTGGTATTGTCAAATGATGAACAAATGAAACCGTCATTGATGATCTTAAAGACGTTATGTTTATAGCAGGTGAAACAGTGGGAGTGCTGTCTATAGATTGGCAAAAAAACAAATCGGTTTGTATAAAACCTGCAACATTTAAAGATCGTGCTACAAGTCTGGTGCTGACATTAAATGACGAAAGAGTTACTCGAAGTTTGCCAGCCACCCTTATCACTAATTTTTGAAGTGCCTGAAATATATTGGCTTTCTTATGCCCAGTGTCATGTGCCGTTACAGTCCAATATTAAAACAAAAAGTGTTTGTGACGAGCATGTATGAGCATCAACAAGACCCCGACAGGAGTGATGTGGCTACAAAAGAAAAGCTCTTTCACCTTAAGCACAAACAGCTAAGAGGCAAAACGAAACATAAATGAGTGATAAGGTTTGGTAACTGATGGTTGCCAAGTCAAATTATATAGCACGAGTTAACTTTTTAATGACTGACAGTGTGTGAAATAATCTCTTGGTAAGTTTGACACCCTATGTTTACACACGTCTTTAGCACAATCTTACATACGTTATTGGGCAGGCAAATGTATCATTACTGTTGTACCCTTTCAATGTTGTCTCTTCATTCTTAATGTGTTTTCTCATTGCAGTATATTGGTTCAAATAACTTGTTACCCATTTTAAAGCACGACGTTAGTATAATGCGTCGTGAGGAATTTTAGATTGTTGACAGTAGCCACTACGCCTTGCTTCTGCTATAAAGATAATTGGTCCATCATGGAATTGGTTGTTTAGGTTCTTGCTTAAAGACTCATGTCATAGTTCACTGCTTGACCGTGACTGATTTGATTCTGCCTACCTTCAACAAAGTAATGACGTAAATACCTCCTTTATGTTAAACGAGAAGGGAATCAATGTAAGCATCGGTATGTTTCAACACGTTTCATACGCGCTCATTTCGTCTTATGTTCAAAGGTAATAGTGAGCGGTTCCCCACAAACTTAACATTTTTAGCTGAGAGATTTATAGTAACCGTTGGATATGCTATTCTGTCAAACATTTTTATAGCTTTCATTTTTAACTGTAATTGTTTATGCATTATAGATGTCGCGTGTATTTGTCTTAGCCAGTAACTTGGACATAATGAACACACTCGTTGGAGTTTTGTCGAGGAATGTCATTGAAAGAAATGTCACCCAGTGAGATAATGTGGTCTGTCAAGGTTTTCCAAAATGCACCCTCTCATTAGAGCAAGAAAATTGGTAAAGTTGTCCGCACCCGCATTGGCTTAGATCGCAGGCTCTCGTTTGGAAAGAAACATAACCATAGGGAGAGAGGCTCTCGTTTAGATGGCTACAGTTTTGAAATATCCCCAGTCTTACAAATGAGACAAGTATGCTTATTTATTAAGTGTAGGAATAAGTAATGGATGTTCCTCGGTAGGTTTGTGATCTGCTTTTTTCCACCGCTTGCACATTTTTTTGGCAAAAATATGGGTGTTGTGACAATGTTGTCAAAATATTCAAGCGAATTATTTGTTCCCCTTGGGTGGTGCCAATTTCACGATTTTTTTGTACTCCCTAAAGTTTAAATAGCCTTGTTTTAAATGTCTCATTCGGCAAATCCAAATGGAAATATTGTTAGATGGCAAGTTTTCAATAAAATGTTGTGCTCTATATCAATGTGGGAAAAATCAGTTTGTAATCTACTGGTAGATTACATAGCATCCGACCAGCTTAGGTTGCAAATGAAACAGAGCTGATGGATTTAAACGCTTACCTTTAGTGACAATAGTTGGGAGATGGTGCCTCCAACCTCATTCGTAAAATTATTAACTCACTGCTTGAGCTTTTGAGCATTTGAATTTGCTAATCGCATTCCGTCAAAATGGGTGCACATTTGGCTTTTCGCAATGCCTGTTTTTATTTAGGACTGGCAGTTGATTTCATTGGAGTAGTAGTGAAACCAGAAGATATAAACGAGCATATGCCAGCTGCCGTGTTTCTTGAGGGAGCCACAGTGGCAGAGTAAAATTTTTGAGAGAGATGCATGGATGTGGTGTGTTGTGCCTGTACAGCAGAACTGTTCTTGGCGTGTGTCCAGCATGGCTTGTAAATAAACTTTTATTACTGGGAACGCAGCAGCCTCGGCTCACTCGTAATATCATAATAATAAGTAAGACATGTGGCGTAAACGAAACATGACTATGGTATCACTGTCACTGTTGTGTTATTCTTTGCTTAGATACGTGACCAGCCAACGCCTCTTGCATATAACATTAGTTATCCCTATAAAATGTATAAATACATGTTACGAATTTATAATTGTACAACATTTCGTGGTTTACGAAAATCAATCCAAGCCTCCAGCAACATTATCCCAACTTTAAACAACACGAGTTTCATGAAATAAGATGTCTCTTCAACAAGAACACATTCTACAAAATAACCAATCGTGCTCATTTGCTGACGTTCTGATATATATCTATTAGAGATGTCTGAAACATATTTTGAAATTCTGAAATACAGCCCCTCCCAACCCTCCCCTCTCCACCCAGCCCCACCCCTCCCATTTTAGGATGCACGACGGACGTACGGACGCAATAATTCCATGTGGGCTAGGTGTAACCAGGAGGTTCCTACCAGTATTAATCGTTCTGAATATACCAAGTCACGTGTCGTTACATACGAAAGGATACTAAGCTTGTAACACTTCTTGATATTGTACTCCGAATCAAATTTATCATAACATTGAACGAAAGCAAGATTTAACCAGCAGTGGACTTGGCAGGACGTTGTACTAATATATCACGCAGAGGAATCCGATTATCATGAGCTTGCTACCGCTGGGCAATTCCGCACTAATCCACACGGTGGCGCTAGTGTCTTTACGTGAGTTCGAGACACGACATCAAGTTCCATACAACTAAATAACAATAGCCAGGGTCTATCTACTGCTGAGTAAAGGTCATTCCAAGCCGTTGCCGTCTCTCACAGTCATGCCACGTTTAAACCAAATAAGTAATATTACTTTTTTTTTAAATACGCTTTAATGAATTGTACCGTACTAGTAATAGAAGAACTCCAGGAAGTGGCCCAGAAGCTTGCCATAACGGAAGGGACCGTTGTCATTTACAGCCAACGTCAGCTTACCGTGGACAATTAGACCCAAGCCGAAACATAACATATTAAACATAATGTTTCAACATTTTTTTTATGATAGAATATAGTATTATCATCAGTATGACGTAAGTATACCAAGCTTGCAGTCGATACCACATTGGGAAATGGGTTAAAATTGAGTTACAAGATTTGAGGATACAACAACAGACAGTGAGTTAAATAAAAGCGTGTAAAATAAAAGCGTGTAAAATAAAAGCGTGTAATAATAATAATAAAAAGAGACCCATCTGTGCCCATGGGCAGGGTTGAATGGCTCATCCTGCCAGTGGATGTCCTCGCGAGCGTGGTTCCCTCCTTTGGGCTGCCACTCCGTCGTTAGTCTCGACCACTGACCGTGGCCCCGTCATCACCAACAATGTTGTAGGTGCAGGAGGGGTCGGCAACCCGCGGCTCTTTGAGGCTTTGCTTCACGATCCTCTTTTTGTGATGATTAATCAGCCCTCCGTCGCGTATTCATCGTGTGCACTGCGGCTCTCGATGTAGTGATGGGGGAGTTTATTTCTTAACCGAATTCGAAAACCAAAATGCCTCTTCTTCTTCAACTTTTGGTTGTCTTAGGGGGGGGGGGCATTCATCTGCAACGGCAGGATAGAAACGTTAGCTCAGTATTCTTCAGTCATTTTCAGAGGGTGGGCCACTTTCCCCGATAAGACATCATCAGCGTGAGGGCCGCCACGCATCTGAAACCATTGGGATTTGACAGCACGATGATGATGATGGGGTGATGTCACCATTTGTGTATTGTTGCTTGGCCAGTGGCCCGCAGGCCTTGCGATGAAGACCACTCGGTTTCACCATTTCACGCGAAGTACATTTTTTTCACTTTTTATGCCCACAATGTTGCTGACGAATGGCTTTATTTGTGTGTGCGTGTGTGTCAATTGTGCTTATGCACCACTGCCAACGCTACAGCAGTCGCATCTCTAACATAATTAGTGTTTCAAGGCTACGTGTCACCGACACATCGTTTGTGCCATTGATGGCCCAGGTGACTGCCCCGGCCCTCACCTGGAACCTCTTCCCAATCGTGGTGCCACTGCGGATGGTACGGTCCGCTCAGCCCTGCCCCGCAAGAGTTATTCCATCTCACACGTCTCGGTAGTCGTTAGTAGCAATAGTGGACTTTCGCGACCAATATTAACCATAATAAAGGTTGTTTTATTGATGGTGTTAGATCGCGTAATTATAATTGTGTCGTGAAACCCGCCGCCACCACCCGACACAGGCAATTAGTAAACGTGACACACCTTACTCAGTAGTCAACCTTACTCGTCGGCTGTCGGGTGGTGGCGGGTTTCACGACATATTTGTATTTACGCGATTTTAACCCACAAAACAACATCTTATGGAGAAGGGTTATTCAACTGAAACAGCTCCCAGAACAACATTCACCTTTCAATAGCACCGCCTTTATTTCAATTTACTTTTCAAGGTCACAATTGTTATTGACGAATGTGTTCATCTTTTTGTTTGTTCCTGTGCACCAGTGCTAACGCAGTTTTATCACCAAATTATTGTATTTATCGTTGCCTCGCTGCGATATAAATCACGATATAATTTCCACGATAATCGCGATATCACTTTTACCAATGACTTTGAAATTCCATTTCGCGTTTTGTTTACCGTTGAATTTTTTAGTTGTTGCGCTTTTCTGTGGTTCGATTATGAGTAATATTCTCAGCTGAAATTCTACATCGGTCCGCCACATGTCCCATCATCACGGCAAACCTGAAACTCGCAAAAAAAACCGGCAGCAGTTCCTCGAAGCCATTCACAGTGGCCTCCTATTGTCTTAGGGGCCGCCCATAAATGACGTCACGCGATTTTGAACGATTTTTGCCCCCCCCCCTCGTCACACGGCATCACAAAAAGTCAGACCCCCCCTCAAATGTGACGTCACAAAGCTCTGCCCCCCCCCCCCAAAATAAAACATGCTTCAAATCGCTTTAAACTATTGTCATTGTAGGGCGTATTTAATGTGGCGCTGCACTCTGATGTTGTAGGAGAACCATTTATTAGAAAGTCTATTTAATTAAGTAGAACGTGTTGTCACACATCGTCACAAATGTCTGACACCCCCCCCCCCCCAGGTGCGTGACGCCATTTATGGACGACCCCTTAAATCACAATTCAACAAACGATCCGTTTGAGCAAACGAAGACCCCACTTGTAAGCAAGCGGCCAAGGCGGTGTGAGAGACAAACCGGAGGCCGGTTTCGTGTTTTTTTATGATTGGGACTCATCAGCACGGCACAGCCACCGATGCTCATTGCAAAGCCTGCAAAGCCTGACTTTGGGCAACCATATACAGCTACAGCCATATACAGCTACAACCATATACAGCTACAGCCATATACAGCTACAGCCATATACAGCTACAGCCATATACAGCTACAACCATATACAGCTACAAGCATATACAGCTATAGCCATATACAGCTACAAGCATGGGCGGCGTCCACCACCGACACGCTAAGGGGGCCCATGAGTGTGGCCAATAGCAACAACATTGACGCCCGCGAATGTAAATACCTGGGAACAAAATTTTAAAAAAGTTTTTTGGTATTTTTTTTATAAACAAAGCAGGTGAGGTCGCATAATCTTGTAACCCGTCCATGGAACCCACCCCCCTCCTACACCACCTACACCAGGACCTCCTACACCACCTCCACCACCGACACCTACACCACCCACACCTCCTCCACCACCACCCAGATCACCTCCTACACCACCACCACCTCCACCACCCACACCTACACCACCCACACCTCCACCACCCACACCTACACCACCACCTCCTACACCACCACCTCCACCACCCACACCTACACCACCCACACCTACACCACCCGCACCTCCTCCACCACCACCCACATCACCTCCTACACCACCACCACCTCCACCACCCACACCTACACCACCCACACCTACACCACCCACACCTACACCACCACCTCCTACACCACCACCTCCATCACCCACACCTACACCACCCGCACCTCCTCCACCACCACCCACATCACCTCCTACACCACACACCTACACCTCCTCACCACCACCTCCTACACCACCCACACCTACACCACCACCACCTACACCACCCACACCTCCACCACCCACACCTACACCAACCCCCACACCTCCTCCACCACCACCCACATCACCACCACCCCCACCACATACACCACCACCTACACCACCACCTCCTCCACCACCCACACCTACACCACCCACACCTACACCAACCACACCTACACCAACCACACCTCCTCCACCACCACCCACATCACCTCCTACACCACCACCACCTCCACCACCCACACCTACACCACCCACACCTACACCACCCACACCTACACCTCCTCCACCACCACCTCCTACACCACCCACACCTACACCACCACCACCTACACCACCCACACCTCCACCACCCACACCTACACCACCCACACCACCTCCACCACCACCACCAGGGGGAGGAACTCACCGGCTGCGCTGGCCCCGAGTGGGCGGGTCGCGGTGCTCCTCCCGAAGCCGGCAGTGGGGGGAGTCGTCGCAGCCCCTCCACCTTCCTCCTCCTCCCTCCACCACCCTCCACCTCCTCCAATACCTTCCTCCTCCACCACCCTCCTCCACCTTCCTCTCCACCTCCTTCATCCTCCTCCCGCTCCGCATCACCCTCGTGGCTCTCAACCCCCCTCCGCCCCCCCCCCCCTATAAGGAAGAGGTTTTTTTGTGGGGTTCTAAGCTTCATCGTCGTCATCTTAATCATCATCGGCGGAACAAACACAAAAAACCCACAGTCATCATCAGCAGCAGCATCATCATCAGCAGCAAGAAGCGGTGTTCGGCGTGAAATAGCGAAAGCGGAAGACGCCGCAGCGTTGATGCTGCTCCATTCATTGGCACAGGCGGGCGGCGAGCGAGGGTAGTTGTGGTCAGGGCACTGCGGTGGAGCTCCGTGCTGCCGCATGCACAGAGCAGCGTGGGTCGGTGTGGTGTCAGTTAGTGTGGTGTACCCTGTGGGTGAGTGTAGTGGAGGTTAGTGTGGTGGAGGTTAGCGTGGGTGAGTGTGGTGGAGGTTAGCGTGGGTGAGTGTGGTGGAGGTTAGTGTGGTGGAGGTTAGTGTGGCGAAGGTTAGTGTAGTGGAGGTTAGTGTGGGTGAGTGTAGTGTGGGTGAGTGTAGTGGAGGTTAGCGTGGTGCAGGGCAGTGGAGGTTAGTGTGGGTGAGTGTAGTGTGGGTGAGTGTAGTGTGGGTGAGTGTAGTGTGGGTGAGTGTAGTGTGGGTGAGTGTAGTGTGGGTGAGTGTAGTGGAGGTGAGTGTAGTGGAGGTTAGTGTAGTGGAGGTTAGTGTGGGTGAGTGTAGTGTGGGTGAGTGTAGTGTGGGTGAGTGTAGTGTGGGTGAGTGTAGTGTGGGTGAGTGTAGTGTGGGTGAGTGTAGTGTGGGTGAGTGTAGTGTGGGTGAGTGTAGTGTGGGTGAGTGTAGTGGAGGTGGAGGTGTGGTGCAGCGTTCTGCACGTGGCTGTCGCCCCATGCCCCGGTGACGATGTCCACCACGGAGCTCTACTGCAAGGTGAGGCGGTGTCATGTGTGTCATGTGTGTGGTGTGTCATGTGTGTGGTGTGTCATGTGTGTGATGTGTCATCTGTGTGATGTGCCATGTGTGTGATGTGTCATGTGTGTGGTGTGTCATCTGTGTGTGTGATGTGTCATGTGTGTGGTGTGTCATGTGTGTGGTGTGTCGTCTGTGTGGTGTGTCGTGTGTGGTGTGTCATGTGTGTGTGTGATGTGTCATCTGTGTGGTGTGTCATCTGTGTGTGTGATGTGTAATCTGTGTGATGTGTCATATGTGTGGTGTGTCATGTGTGTGGTGTGTCATGTGTGTGGTGTGTCGTCTGTGTGGTGTGTCATGTGTGTGGTGTGTCATGTGTGTGTACTGTGTACAGTGTGTGATGTGTGTACTGTGTACAGTGTGTGATGTGTGTACTGTGTGTGATATGTAGTCTGCGTCACGTGTGTACTGTGTGATGTGTGTACTGTACGTGTGTACTGTGTGATGTGTGTACTGCGTGTACTGTGTGTACTGCGTGTACTGTGTGTACTGTACGTGTGTACTGTGTGATGTGTGTACTGCGTGTGCTGTGTGTACTGTACGTGTGTACTGTGTGATGTGTATGTGTGTACTGTACGTATGTACTGTGTGCACTGTGTGTACTGTGTGTACTGTGCGCACTGTGTACTGTACATGTGTACTGTGTGTACTGTACGTGTGTACTGTGTGTACTGTACGTGTGTACTGTGTATGTGCACTGTGTGTACTGTACGTGTGTACTGTGTATGTGCACTGTGTGTACTGTGGTGTACTGTGTATGTGTACTGTGTGTACTGTACGTGTGTACTGTGTATGTGCACTGTGTGTACTGTGCGTGTGTACTGCACGCAGTAGTGTGCCGTGTGCTCTGTACCTGGGTTGTGTGTCATGTACATTAAGTACACGTACATCATTATGTTCTGTGTATGATACATACTAATCAGGAGTGTGTGTGTGTACTGTGTTCTCTGCGTTTCGTCATTTGTGTGCTGCGTGTACTTGATGTCACTGCAATGATGACGTGTTTGTGTACAGGCATACGCCCTGTACATGTTTGTATTTACTCTCTGTGCGGTATATTCTGCAGTGCTGATTGTGCGTGCAATTCTGTAAGTAGTGCAGGAATATTTTACGTTCTGAGCACATGATGAACATTGATATCCATGTGTGTACTCCACACGTTGTGTGTATGTGACGTGTTGTTAATTGGTGTTTAGAACATGTAAGAAGATGCTTGAGTCAGGGTGCTAGTTGGATGCAGCATCACGACTGTCTACCTGCTGGTAGATTCTTTATCTCTGTGCACACTCCTGGCCCTGCCTCGTTTCAAGGGATGCTTACACCCCCCTCCCTCCTACACACCTCCGATTAGCTACGTACGGTGCGAAAGAAGTTCAACATACCTACTGTATATGCATCACCTTCTTCCCTGGCCGCCTGTTCTATACCATTACAGACCACACGTGACTTCCTGCCTGCCTACCTGTGTGTGTTCTTCCATTACAGACCACATGTGACTACCTGCCTGCCTGCCTCCCCGCTTGAGTCTCAGCCTGACTGCCTACCTACCTGTGTGTGTGTTCTTCCATTACAGACTACACGTGACTTCCTGCCTGCCTGCCTCCCCGCTTGAGTCTCAGCCTGATTGCCTACCTACCTGTGTGTGTGTTCTTCCATTACAGACCACACGTGACTACCTGCCTGCCTGCCTCCCCGCTTGTGTGTCAGCCTGACTGCCTATCTGCTTGCCTGCCTGTGTGCTCTTCCATTATAACCCACACGTCACTACCTATCTGTATGTGTGCTCACCTGTTGCCCCCCACCCTCCCACCTGCCCTGTTTGTTTACTTGGCCCATCCACCTGGCCCGCTTTGGGTGCCAGCATCCTCGTTACCCCGTGTTGGTCTGTAATCGCTTGACCCTTCCCTGGCCCTTCCCTGGCCCTTCCCTGGCCCTTCCCTGGCCCTTCCCTGGCCCTTCCCGACACACACCTCTGTCTCTGTCTGTCTCTCCACGTTGTTCGAGGGCTGTCCCTCTCACTGCGGGCTAGAAGAAGGTGGAGTTGACGGCAGCGTGGAGGGGGGGGTCGAACCGTGGAGTGGCAAACCAGGCGGTTAAAGTTTCTTATTTGCATGTTGACCTGTGCGTTGAGTCCAAACTCCAAAAAGATGCCTCGGTCTGGCCGTTTCTCCATGGGTTCTTTTTTGGGGAGGTCATGTGTTGATACTGACCGCAAAAATTAATGGTTTAATTTTTTTTAAGTTAAGTGTTTCATTATCCGCAAGTTAAAACTTGACATTAATAAGCATGCGAGCCTGCTATGCAAACACATTCCGTGCCCTCCCCACCACTACATACCAGTCTAAGCCACACCTACACTCCGTGCTGTAATCGCCGTTGTCAAATGTCCCCCCCCTCCCCCCCAACATTGTTATGTTTTAAATCGCGAAATCAAAAGCCGGTGGAGCACTACACAGTTCTACGGACACATCAGGAACTCCGCCGTGGGCTGAACCGTCGCTGCCACTTCGCATCGCCACAAATCGGTCGCAGGCAAAGTTGCAAACTCGTTGGCACCGAATGAGAAGTCGTCGAGAAACGATGCGTCTGTCTTGCGAGAGAGAGAGACAGACAGAACACACATTTTGGTGCATTAGCGGCAGATGAGATTCAGTTATCCGTGGTTTGCATATAAGCAAGATGAACGCGCGGTTAATAGGAAGACTGGAACAGCTTCAGTTGATGCTCCAATCCCAGTAAACATTAGTAAGTTAGAACAATGTTGTGCCAACTTTGATCCAAAGTTGGTTCAAAGGTTCCAACTACATACCAGTGATGGCCCAACGTTGCAGCTTTACTTGGATGTCTGTTCAGGGAATTATCTTGGTCGTATCATGACCGTCATCATCGTTGTCTTCACCATCATCCGTTCATAATTAATAAGCTTAATTTAATATCTCACTGTCATTGTCCTCCCTGTTATCCACAGGCACTATGGGTAATGGGACCCGTAATTATCAATAAAGTACATTTGACATTCACGTTTTCAACGAAATTACGGATGAACATGAGTGCCAATCCACAGAGAAAGAGATAGATCCTAGATCTGTTGGTGTCGCAATACGTGAGTAGGGCGCCGGATATCGTGGCTACAGATAAAAGGCGTTACGCGCGTTACGCTCTATAAGGTAGGGACAGAATACAACCTGCCTGGTAGCAGTAGGTCTGGCAATTGATGCGGTGACTAATTCGAATCCCAGCTGTGGCAGACTCAACCCTGTCATTACCACCGGCATCGCCACTTGCCCGAGGCTTTGCCACTCGGTGGGAAGTCCCCAACGAGTCATTTTCTGTGGATGGAATGGGCCCCTGCCATCGGAACGTCGAATTTCCAGTGGCGACTCACGACTGCCAGAGGGAGATGAGCTTTGATTAGCACGGCGCATCTGGGCCCACTTTTTAATCCGCACGAACCTCGCTGCCAGTGTGGCGTTGCTCGGGTTAGGGACCAGACCTGTGACATTTCATTGACAGAAGGTGCTGTAGAGTAACCGCAATATAATCAATAAATAAAACGAAAATATTTTGATATTGGTGATGTTTATATACAGTAGTGTTTTAATATTTACCGCACGTTTCAGTACAAAGTCGGATGCCCTATGAGATCCTGACTTTGTACTCGGGGCTGGAAATGGATAGCGGAGTTGAGGTTGTCGGGAGGATGAAGCCTGGTTGTGTTTTTGTGGGATGAGAGGTTTCTATGTGCTGCTGTGTCAGCCTCTGTCCGTGTTTCTGTCTGTCTGTGTGTGTGTGTTTCCGCCTTACTATCTCTGCATCACTCTCCCTGTCCATCTCTCTTTGTCTCACTGTTTCTGTGTTTCTCTAGAAGTGTCTGCTTCTCTCTCTCTCTGCTGTGTCTATGTGAATGTCTTCGTGTACCTCCTGTCTCTGTGACCCCCCCCCCCCCGTGTGTGTGTGTCTTCTAACTGTCTGTCTATCTGTGTCTTTACATACTTGACCCTGTGTCTTTCTGCGCAACGTGTGTCTCTCCGTGTGTCTCTTCATATGCGCGTTATCTCCCTGCATCTCTTGTTGCTACCACACCGTCCTCCTCTGTTCCCGTGTTTTCTTCTTCACAGCGACCCACTTATTGCCGCATGTGGCCCCAGGAGCCAACGCTTCGTGCAGCCGTGCTGCGTGACCGTGCTGCGTGACCGTGCTCCGTTGACCTTCCGCGTGTAACTCTCTCTGGATATCTAAAGTCCCTCCTTCCGGTCTGCACAGGGATTCTCCCCGTGTTGAGTCGGCTCTGCGAAGCCTGGGGGCCTGCACACAACTTGCCAAGGGCTGTAACTGAGCACCTCTGAATACTTAAAGGTTCTTGTAAAGGCATATGCGGGAATATTTTATTTTTTGAGCAACTGGCAAGCCAGTCGATTTAAAAGGTACCCGTGCTTTGTGTGTGGGGAATCCTCGTAGGCTATATTTACACGTGTCTGACAGGCATGTGTGAGCTTTCACCAATTTGCACACAAATGTTACCCACGTGGTAATCGTTCTGGTATGGCGTAAAAGGCTAATTAAAGACGCATTATTTTTGAAAGCACTTTGTTGCCATTCTTGCCCAAACGTTATACACACCTGGGCACTGGCATTGTTGCTGAGCTGTGTGGGAAGTCTTTGTAGTGACTGACCTAGGAGCGTGGCATTTTTTTGTCATCGGACGTCTGCAGTTGGATGGACATAACATTTCCAGGGGCAATAGAGCAATACGTTGCTCCTTACAAAGCGACAATCTGTAATGAATTAATGTTATGAAAATACCAAAGTATATTAACTAAAACAGTAAAATGCTGTATTACAGCAGGGTGCTGTATTCGGTCGCATGCCTTCGATGCCTTCAACAGTTTTTTTAAACCCATAGCATTCACATCTGCAAAACAGTGGTAAGACTTAATCTCAATGGGAACTGAATACTTTTT